CAAACAAGCAAATTCACGTTTGCTCTTTTGGTTCTTCAGCAACAGCTTGCTGGTTTGCAGAGTTGGTCTCCTTTGTCTATTCCTTTTTGTTGTTGTATTGAACAGGTGAACGGAAAAGGTCGGCATTGAGCCCAGTGAAGCACCAAGATAAAGTGGGTCAGCGTCATATTGTAGCCTCTGGCCTTTCAAAATGATATTTAAGCCCTGAGTAGCATTAGCATGATGATGGAAGTGAAAAACACTCGTTTGGTTGGGACACCCTTGGTGACCTGATGCCTCTGTGTGCTGTTTTTAGCTTCTGCAAACTCTGTAAAATGTTGGCCTTTGAATTACTACAGTTCAATCATTTCTGCCAACCCCAGCGAATGGCATTCTCTAATAACACACATATTATATTCACATATTATTAATGGGGAGTAATTGAAGTGTTTCTGTAAATAAGGATAGTGAGATATGAATTAGAAAGGGTCTGCATTAGAATTTGAAATATTTTTTAAAAATTCATATGGGCCACACCTGCACATTACATTTAAGACAAGGGACGCAAGTGGTGCTGTGGTCTAAACCACTGAGCCTCTTGGACTTGCCGATCAGAAGGTCGGTGGTTCAAATTCCCACAATGGGATGAGCTCCTGTTGTTCTGTCCTAGCTCCTGCCATTCTAGCAGTTTGAAAGCACTTCAGTGCAAGTAGATAAATAGGTACTGCTGCAGCGGGAAGGTAAAGGGCATTTCTGTGCTCTCTGGTTTCTGTCATGGTGTTCTGTTGCACCAGAAGCGGTTTAGTCCTGCTGGCCACATGACCCGGAAAGCTGTCTGTGGACAAACGCTGGCTCCCTTGGCCTGAAAGCGAGATGAGCGCCGCAACCCCATAGTTGCCTTTGACTGGACTTAACCATCCAGCGGTCCTTTACCTTTTTCTTTTTTACCTTATTACATTTAAGGCAATATTATGTCACTTTAATAGCCACAGCCTCCCCCAAAGAATCCTGAGAAATGTAGTTTACTGAAGATGCTGAAAGTTGTTAAAGGGACCCCTGACCATTAGCTCCAGTCGTGGCCGACTCTGGGGTTGCAGCGCTCATCTTGCTTTATTGGCCGAGGGAGCCGGCGTACAGCTTCTGGCTCATGTGGCCAGCATGACTAAGCCACTTCTGGCAAACCAGAGCAGCACACGGAAACGGCGTTTACCTTCCCACCGGAGCGGTACCTATTTATCTACTTGCACTTTTGATGTGCTTTCGAACTGCTAGGTGGGCAGGAGCAGGGACTGAGCAATGGGAGCTCACCCCATCGCAGGGATTCAAACCGCCGACCTTCTGATCAGCAAGTCCTAGGCTTTGTGGTTTAACCCACAGCACCACCCGCGTCCCTTCTGAGAGTTGTTAGGAAACCCCTATTCTTTTCAGGGAGGTACAATTCTTGGAGTAGTTCAACAATCAATCCTTCTCTTCGGGGAGCTCTGCAAATTGTATCTGTGAGGGGAAATAGGGGGTTTCCTAACAACTCTCAACACCCTTAACAAACTACAGCTCCCAGGATGCTTTGGGAGAAACCATAACTGCTTTAAAGGGAAGATGTGGTGTGGCTGAGGCTTCTCCTCCCTCACCCCCACAAGGCATCTTTGGAACTTGCTTGAGGAGGCTGAAAATGTCCTGACACAGATCTTTGTTTCTTCAGAGAACAATCTTTGGGAATTGTGCTTCTCGGGCCTATTTTGCTGGCTCAAGCAAAGGACAAGATGGAATCTCTCCACCAACACTAACACCAACACTTGAAGCCAACTCCATTGGTGGTTGAATCTGATTTCAGCAGCATCTTCAAGCGCACCTGACAGGAAGCTGACTACTCAGGAGGCATGGAGCAGGCTGCAGATTTTTTAAAAATAAAGCAAACAGGCTCTTAGTTTGCTGAAAGACAAACTTACCAAGGGAACTCAGTCAACTTCTAACAACTTGAGTATCTAAGCGAACATATAAAACCTGAACCAAGTGTCATAATTTGGAGAGACAGCTAGGGTCTTGGAGAATTCAACTGGAAATGGAAATAGGATGGTCACCATGTTTGCCCAAGGTCAGGAAATCATGCAAACAAATACAAGTGGCATTTGCTATCATTGTTTCTTCGGCCTGTGAATGTCACATAAATTATTGTGTTATTTTCTGCATTCTTATTGACATTTTTCACTGAAATGCACTGAAGTTAATTAATTCATTGCATGATGAATTACGTTAGTTTTAGCCATAACGGACAGTGGAAACTGAACTGTAGTATAACAGAAGCAGTGCTGCTTGCAGAAAACACAGGGCAGGGCAGAAATGGCTACTTCCTTGCATCCCGAATTCATGGAAGAGATGTGTGGCAACAATTGCCACATGGCCCAGTGATGGAGTTCTCTCTTATTTCTTTTTGTATAAGCAGAGTGTAATTCAACTTTGGAGCTTGCACAAATTCTTCAGTAAAGAGACCACCAGATGCTAGATGAATTTATGGCAAATGTTTGTGTTTTGGGAACCAACCTAATCCTATTTTGAATTTTGGGACCGACATTTACGTATAGGGATTCAGACTTAGTTAGGCCTGCCTGACGTCCATGCTCCTGAAATGATTCGATCCCTAGCGGGAGGTCTTTAAGTGGATTTGACAGCAAGCTCTTGAAGCATGGATCTCTGCTGCAGGTTCTGGTGCTTATCCTTATGTTAGGAACATAGGAAGCAATCATATACCAGATCAGACTATTTATCCATTGTCTGCTCTGACTGCCAACAGGTTCCCGGGATCTTAGGCAGAGAGGGATCCTCCCTGTCATCTGACCCTTTTAACCAGCCATATCCGGGATTTGAGCCCAGAACCTTTCCCCTAACGAAGCATGTGCTGTATCACTGAGCGATCATCTTTCCCACCCCCCATATGGAATGCTTCTTGAATGCCAGTGCCATCTTTGGGCTGTGCTAATCTCCTCTGCATCCTTCCAGGCAGAGTATGTATCACCAATGCAAGCACACAGGTCCTTGGGAATTGTCAGGGTGCAAACTGTGAAGAGATTATTATTAATATTTCAAATCCAGTGCATTTTAAATAGACCTTCCCGAATAATGTGTTTTGCACATATGTCAACAGCCAGTCACCATTCCTCACTGGCGACAGTGATCCCGAGAGACAGGAGTCAAGTGACAAGATTTAGATGCCACTCTGTGTGTGCAAGTTGTTTTTCCCCCCGTCCCAAGATAAACAGGTTGCCTTTAAATCTGCTAGTGACGTGCACATTGCAAATGATGTCATTTCCTGCTTTGGGAATTAATTAGTATTCTTGTTCACCAATATATGCTATGTTCCACTCCCATAGAGCAGGTGACAACTTACCCTGCCATAGAATTCTGAATAATTTAGTAGTGATAAAGTATTTTGTTCTGTTTTTATAACCATGCAGTATATCAATCTTGTTTAAAAGTGTGTGTGTGTGTGTGATGAATGGATAAAGGGTTTTAAAAAATACAACACTTTTATTCTCCTTCCCTCTCCCCTATAATGTTGTTTAATAATAAAAAAAATGCACTGTCAAACTATTCATTTAATGTAGCATGCGATCCAGTCCTGAGTTCACATGATTCTTCCTCCTAGGTGATGGAAATTAGCTTGCAGCATGAGTGAATGCTGGCTGGAATATTAACAGTACAAGTGTAGAAAAGGTTTTTATTGCTTTCCATTTACTGAGTCTGCCTTTCTTCATATCTTATCTTCAGCACCTGGGGGGGGGGAATAAAATGGTTTATAAATCTGTAAGCAGAGTGATTTTTTTCCCTGGGGGGGACGCAGGGATAAGCATACCCCTAAACAGTTTGTGAATCTTTGTACTTTTGTCCATTTACTGTATTTATTTCCCCCGATTTGAACTATAAAATGGTGATTTCCTTGAGTCAAAATGAGAGTACCCCTAAACATTTTTTTAAAAGAAAAATGCACCGAGTAAGTAAATAAATAACTGTGGTGAGTGGGACCCCACAATGGGCTATCTGCTAAAATCACGGCGCCCTAATGCTATTTCTAGCACAGCTTTTGCTGGTAAAGAAAAACCACCATGCTTTGTTTCATGAAATCTCACCCCCCCTTTTTTTTTGCTAGAGAATTCTTTCCCCCTTCTCATGAATGAAGTGCAGAGAGTAATCATGTGCTGTCCTTGAGAATGCAGCGTGGGAAGCCCCTCTTGACTGTCCCTGGTCCTTTGTTCTAGGACGCGAAGTTCAAGCTGGAGATTACTACAGGAGAAAGGTGGCCGGAGATCTGCTGAAGGGGGAAGAACAAGCACACGGCCTTGGCTTGCTTGCAGTCTGGAGTCTGGATGAGATAATGGAGCAGAGTGCAGCGCAGTTGGCAAGGCGGCTTAGCTTGCTTGCTCAGGTTGCAACCTTGCCATTTGTTCTGACCTCATCCAGGCCTGATCAAAGACCAGGCGCTTGAAAGGAATGTCGGCGCAAGGCAGCAAGATGTGCCTAACTCAGCACGCGCACACACCTGGCTCTGATGTCATTCCCGTTCGGGGCTGCTGAGGAAATAGTGCCTGCCTCTCCCCCAAACACAAGTGGAGAACGTTCTGAGAAAATTCTGCAAAGTAATCTTCTTTTGTGGGAGGACAGGAAAAGAAACATCTCAGAAATCCTCTGAGGATTTCTCTAGAAATACAGTAAGCCACAGATGTTTCATACAGCAATACAGGTGTATGTACAGTCCCAGGACCTCCATCCTCCCCATCTGGATTTGGCCTGAAAGACCAAGGGAAAGTGTGGGCACGTGGAGAGAAAATTGTAAGCAAGCGCTATTTGTGACATGGCTCAACATCACTTCCCTTCTTCTCTTTCGGTGGTTCATTTTGCATACCATACATCCCTGCATATTTTACATGAACTAAACCATTCAGTAATCCATTATTGCATCCATCAAAACTTATTTATACTGTTGAATTTATCTTAATGCTACCAGCATTTTTAAATGAACACAATTTTTACCCATATATTCAGTAAACATCTTCCAGTCTTCTTTAAACATGCGTTCTTCTTGTTCTCTTATTCTATATGTTAAATCTGCAAGCTGCACATATTCCATCAGTTTAAGTTGCTATTCTTCTTTGGTTGGGACCTCGCTCATTTTTCATTTTTGGGCTAGTAAGACATGGGCAGCAGTAGAAGGGTACATAAATAGTCTTTTTTGACACCTGGGAATTTCCCTCTGAATTATCCCCAACGAAAAGGACTCTGGGGTTTTTTGAAATGTACTTTTAAACATTTTTTTCAGTTCATTAAATATCATTTCCCAATACTCTTTTACCCTTTTACAAGTCCACCACATATGATAAAACGTACCCTCAACCTCCTAACATCTCCAGCACTTATCTGATTCAGACTTATCAACATCATTCCTGATCAGATCATTTTCAGTGTCCCTTCTTTGTGACCCTTGAGCCAACAAAAGATTTTCTTAACTCTGAACTTAAGCCGCAGTTTTGTTTTGTTTTGAAATCACTGAATCATTGGATCTATCTGGTTTTTGGAAATAAAATGTATTAAAACATTAATGTCTATTAAAAATGAAAGTAGTTATATGAGAAAGCTACAATTCTCAGGGCAGTTCAACAATCAATCTCTCTTCCCAGGGAACTCAGGAAATTGTAGCTCTCTTAAGTGGGAATAGGGGACTTTCTTAACAACTCTCAGCACCCTTAACAAACCACAGTTTCCAGGATTCTCTGAGGGACACGTAACTGCTGAAAGTGGGATGATACTGCTTTAAATGTCTAGCGCAGATGGAGCCGAGCTTTGTTGTACTTAGAGCCTATAAGCAAACATAAGAAACAGATGCCTCCTAGCTAAAACATAAAGGCTGCACAGAAAGCATAGCTGCAGAATAAGGACAGTTTAGAGGGAGAAAGCCCCCTCTCTCAAAGCTGTTTGACAGTGGCGTGTTTGAAATTCCACAGGGGGGGAAGCACTATGGAACTGTTAGGAAGAAGTGACAGGAAGGGTTAAGCACCTCTTCCCTCTTCCCCTCCAACTCACTGCAATGCTTCTTTGCTCTAAATTGTCCCCCCCCCCCCGCTGAATCAGCTCTTCCTTAAGATAAAAAAAAGCAGCTGTCAAGACCTAATTACACACGTCTGACTGTTTCACTAGGCTCTCAACAGAGAACATGAAGAGTGAGAACTTATTCTCATTTTGTCTTTCTCAAAACGCTTGGCAGTTGACATCCAGCAAAACTGATTGGCAGTCGGTTTAAGACAGACAAAAGAACACACTTCTTCATTCAGAATGCAACCGACTGGTGGAATTCGTTTCCTCAAAAAGCTGTGATAGTTACTCTTTTAGATCTTTTTTTAATGGCAAATTCATTGAGGATTTACAACATTCGAGACTAAAAGATTGTGTCTTTGAATGGCGATTAGACACGACAGCTGAGAGTGGAGCCTACATATATCTCTAATTGCTAGGTGATAGAGACCGGAAATGAATAATGGTGGTCTACATTAGAGACCTCCAACTCCCACCAGTCCCAGCCAGAACAGTCAATGATCAGGGATGATGGGAGTTGAAGATCAGCAAAATCAGGAGGACCACAAGTTCCTCATTCCTGTCCTACTACATTCCATCTTACAGATCTCTTCAGGAGCATCTGGATTCCCATGTTAGCCACAGGGTGCTGGCTTGCAAGAACCTTTGCTGTGATCCACCCAAATAGTCTGTGCCCAGGGTCCACAGCTGTGAATTCACCTAGCAAACGTATCTCAGCTCTTCCTCCTCTCTTAGTTCTGACGTATCCAGTGGTCCAAGACGAAGCTGCCCTAAATGTGTGTGGGTGCTTACACAGATACAGTGGTACCTCGGGTTACAGACGCTTCAGGTTACAGATGCTTCAGGTTACACACTCCACTAACCCAGAAATAGTACCTCAGGTTAAGAACTTTGCTCCAGGATAAGAACAGAAATTGTGCGGTGGCGGCGCGGTGGCAGCGGGAGGCCCCATTAGCTAAAGCGGTTGTTGTTGTTTAGTCATTTAGTTGTGTCCGACTCTTCGTGACCCCATGGACCAGAGCACACCAGGCACTCCTGTCTTCCACTGCCTCCCACAGTTTGGTCAAACTCATGCTGGTAGCTTCAAGAACACTGTCCAACCATCTCGTCCTCTGTCGTCCCCTTCTCCTTGTGCTCTCAATCTTTCCCAACATCAGAGTCTTTTCCAGGGAGTCTTCTCTTCTCATGAGGTGGCCAAAGTATTGGAGCCTCAGCTTCACGATCTGTCCGTCCAGTGAGCACTCAGGGCTGATTTCCTTCAGAATGGAGAGGTTTGATCTTCTTGCAGTCCATGGGACTCTTGAGTCTCCTCCAGCACCATAATTCAAAAGCATCAATTCTTCAGCGATCAGCCTTCTTTATGGTCCAGCTCTCACTTCCATACATCACTATAGGGAAAACCATAGCTTTAGCTAAAGCGGTACCTCAGGTTAAAAACAGTTTCAGGTTAAGAACAGACCTCCAGAACGAATTAAGTTCTTAACCCGAGGTACCGCCATATACAAGTACTAGCTCGCTCTGTTTGTCAACTGCCTTTCCTCTACACCTGACTACCCCCTCTCTTTAAGCCTCCTCTCCCCGCCTCTTCCCGCACAGTTTGCCCCAAGCCCCACCCCTTTTTAAAGGAGAGAGAGTTGCTTCACAGAGTGGCTTGCTAAGCTGCGCTGTGAAACCCCTCCTTGCTCTCCATTAAAAGTGCCTGCAGAGAGGTTTAATGGAAGGGGTGGCACTTCACAGAGCAGCTTGCTGCAAAGCACCTCCCTCTTCTCCCCATTAAACAGCTGGCTTGGGCCACCCGCCATCCGTGTGGCTTCCTCAGTTGCCTGCCTGCTGTTCATCATGCTGCAGTTGGCATGACCACCTATTGGTGGCCACGCAAACTGGGGAGCATGATGACAACCTTACATTTTTATTTATATAGCAAGATGCTCCTGGCTTGCATGCTATTCCCCATGAAGTGTGGCAAACATTTGGCATCATGAGCCTGGGGAATCCCCATGTTTACAAACCTGGGAACCAGCTCAAAAAAGAGGCTCCTTTTGGAGGCGATATGCAGCTGCAGGCAGGGGTTATTTCAGCTGTGTATTTGCTTCGCAAGACTTCATATTGTCTTCTTTTAAAGGTAAACAAAGCTATTCTTACCCTAAAAGAACAGCCTGGTCATTTGCACTGGTTAAATATTTGTTGGTATTGCAGCCAACTCCCTTCCACTAACTGATATTTTGGATGCAGACCTTGGCAGCCTGGTCTTATAAGCAAAGCTGGCCTGCTGTTGTTTATCATTCTCAGACCAATTATGATGAGATTTTGAGCCTTAACTGGACATGCAGGGGCTGCTTTGAATTACTTGCCCCAGGCTAAGGTGAACTTAAGTCAGAAGATCTGACCACTTTTACCACCCACTTCTGCTGATTTTCTTTTTTAATGTTTCATGTTTTATTATGTTTTTATATACAGTCCTACCTTGGATACCTTGGCTCCCAAATGATCAAAACCCGGAAGTGAGTGTTCCGGTTTTCAAACGATTTTCAGAAGCCGAATGTTTGGCGTGGCTTCTGCAGCTTCCGATTGGCTGCAGGAGCTTCCTGCAGCCAACCAGAAGCCACGCTTTGGTTCCCGACGTTTTGGAAGTCGAATGGACTTCCAGAACGGATTCTGTTCGACTTCCAAGGTACGACTGTATGTTAAAAGCTGCCCAGAGTGGCTGGGGCAACCCTTTGAGATGTGTGGGATATAAATAATAATAATGATAATGATAATGAATAGGACATTCCTATTTTCATTAGAGAAATGTTGGAGAGTATGCAATCAGAAGCCGGGACACTGTAATTTTGGGATGTCGCATATGACTGGTGCTGAGATAACGGGATCAAGTATTGATTTTATCAAAATTAAAATGTTTATTATTATTATTATTATTATTATTATTATTATTATTATTATGCCTCCCTATACTCGCAGGTCTCAGGGTGGTTCACAAGATAAAATCACAAGATAAAAACACAAAATACATAATCAAAACAAAAACAACCCAAGGATATTGATACCATTAGATGATGCTTTTTTGGGGTTTGGCCACCCGCATTGACATTCTGCCCAGTCAGGAATGATTCCCTTGCCTGTCACATTTCTGGTGATGGGCCTGAATGCTAATGGAGTCATAGAATCATAGAATCATAGAATCATAGAGTTGGAAGAGACCACAAGGGCCATCGAGTCCAACCCCCTGCCAAGCAGGAAACACCATCAGAGCACTCCTGACATATGGTTGTCAAGCCTCTGCTTAAAGACCTCCAAAGAAGGAGACTCCACCACACTCCTTGGCAGCAAATTCCACTGTCGAACAGCTCTTACTGTCAGGAAGTTCTTCCTAATGTTTAGGTGGAATCTTCTTTCTTGTAGTTTGAGTCATTTGTCCGGAGCAAGGGCCTTGCTTGCCTCTCTTGACAAGGGGCGAGTCTCAAGGCTCTCCAAAGCCCCCCACCTGTCACCAGCTCTATATTTTGCAAGTAGGTGCCGTGCAGATTTCATTTTCCCAGCAGATGCCTTTGGTGCTAAGTTCCCTTTGATGCTGATCACACCCAGGCTGCCCGTTCCCCACGCTGTCTCCAAGTTGTTTTCAATAGCCCAAGTGTTTGAACTTCTCGGCTAGACGTGCGGATACATACATTACATGCAATGTAAACACATCCCGAGCTCCAGAATCAGCCGTAATTATGGAACTAAAACAAGTCTTGCTGTGTTCCCATCTTTCGCGTGTTTCATGGTACTTATCTGTTTAAGTTGGAGGCCCATGAAAAGATCAGTATGTTTCACTTCAAAGGGCGGCTTGGATTGCTTTCCCAGTGGCAGGGCTTTGTAGGGATTAAATTAAGTTGCATTGCAGCCATTGAACTTTGCATGTTAGTTAGGTGTTCAGGTATAACTCTTGTGAAGGCCTGCAGTAGGGATGGGCGGATCTGACCGTTTCAATTGCTCATCTTCTCCAGTCTTAAGTTCTCCACTTTTCTTCATCAGTTTGCAATCCTTGAAAAAACACAAAAACCCTCATGAGAATTTGTCAGCCTTTTAACACAAATTTCCCCTATTATTCACCTTTTTACATGTGATTCTGCCTTATATTTGCAAAGCAATTTCCTCCTAATATAAAGGATTTATGTATATTATCTTCACCAATATATGCATTTTTATGCACGCTTTATCGGGGTGTATGCGTTTTTGTGCACACCTGACATGGCAGAAGAACTGCACTGCAATTTTTTTGCAGAAGTGTGAATTTTGAAGCATGACTGTACCTCAGTTGGCACATTGTTTCAGAAAGTGTGAATTAGGTAGACTCACCTTTATATGTGAACTGATTTGAATTTCACTCTGAAGTGATTGAAAGAGGCTTTGCACACATAGGACCAGTACGTCACATGACGCCAGGCACACAAGTAACATCAGACAAGACAAACTAATTACGTTGAACACCCTTCAACTATCCTTTTGCATTTCCATAAGAGTGTGTTTTGCTTCTCATTCATTCAATGCATATTTATGGAAGGAGAGGGAATCCTGGTCAGCGGAAGCGTAACAGGAGGCCACAAGGTTCTCAAATTCCCATGGCTGCATGTAGAAATGAAATCAGACTTCTGTTGTGTGTTGTTTTGCTATTGATGCACAATTACTGTTGCAATTGCAGTCAGCTTTATGAGCACATTATATTTTCCCACTCTTTCGCCCAATTTGTTCCTTCTTTTGATGTTCTGTTTCCCTCTGTTGTTCTCTATTCTTCTACCTCTGATAGGAAATAAGTTGTTTCAAAAACCCAGTGAACAGGGCTGCATCTTTAAGGCTGAAACATACCACTCTTCCATTGCATTTAAAGGTCCTAACCGTTTGACAGTGTCAACCTTTCTTTTACTATCCATGTTTGCCCTCTCGTGGCAGGAAAGAGGAAACAAAGAAAGAGCAACAACATTATACACGATAAAAGCCACCTCTCTCTTTTTTTGCAAATGGGAAGGAGCTTGCTACTGAAAAGAGATACAATTTAGTAATGAAATCTTCAGTTCCATGCATTTCCTGAAAATTATTCACCCTAATTCCAAAGAATCCAGGGAACTGTAGTTTGTTAAGGGTGCTGAGAGGGGACGCGGGTGGCGCTGTGGGTTAAACCACAGAGCCTAGGACTTGCCGATCAAAAGGTCAGTGGTTCGAATCCCCGTGACGGGGTGAGCTCCCGTTGCTCGGTCCCTGCTCCTGCCAACCTAGCAGTTCGAAAGCACGTCAAAGTGCAAGTAGATAAATAGGTACCACTCTGGCGGGAAGGTAAATGGTGTTTCCATGTGCTGCTCTGATTTGCCAGAAGCGGCTTAGTCACGCTGGCCACATGACCCAGAAGCTGTACGCCGGCTCCTTCGGCCAATAAAACGAGATGAGCGCCGCAACCCCAGAGTCGGTCACGACTGGACCTAATGGTCAAGGGTCCCTTTACCTTTAAGGGTGCTGAGAGTTGTCAGGAGACACCTGCTCCCCTCACAGAACTGCACTTCCCAGAGTTTCCTGGGAAGAGGGATTGATTGTTAAACCAAATTGGGAACTCTAGTTTTGTGGGAATTACTGTATTTTTCCATGTATAAGACGAGGTTATTTTTTATAAAAATTATACTAAAAAATGGGGGTCATCTTATACACGGATAGTGGAGAGGTGGGACGGGTGATTGATGGCTGCCGTGAGCAGGAGATTGTCTGTGGTGTTTTTGTGGGTGATTGGTGGGTGCGGCGAGGTCTGCTGGCTATAGGCTGCTGCAGCAATTGGGCGGGTGATTGACGCTTCCATTTGGCGAGCGTGCTGCCGGTTGGTCGCTTTGTTGATGTGCGTGTGATTGGCTGTGGCGGTCCTGTGGGTGAGTGATTTTTGGCAACCCAAACCCAACACGGGGGCATGTTATACACTGAAAAATATGGTATATTGCAGGGGCAGCTATCCCATGATGTCACCCTGGCTGTCTGAAATGCCCATCACAGGTTAGTTTGCCCATTGAGCACTGCCCCCCCCAAATTGCGCCAGTTTCAGCATGTGCTTGATTTCTACCATTCCTCCTAATGCTCCCTGTTCTGTTCATCTTTCTCGCTGTGCCCCTCCTCTCTTAAGTGACTGAGCATTTTCAATCCTTGCTGGCCCCAATGCCTCAAAATGGCCTCCCACCACATTTCTCTGTGGTGCCAGCTCTCTCCCTTCAAACCCCACACGTCCCACATTTGGCTTACCCCAGAGGTAGACCAGGTGGTACCCACTGGATGTTGCTGGACTCCGACTCCCATCATCCTCAGCCAGCATGACAGATTTAGAGTTTAGAGGTCCTAAGGAAGTCAGATTATCCTCCACCAGGGCCAGGGCCTTCTCAGTGATGGCTCCGGCCTGGTGGAATGCTGCGTCCCATGAGACTAGGGCCCTGCAGGATTTAACCTCCTTCTGCAGGGCCTGTAAGACAGAGCTATTCTGCTTGGCTTTCAATTTGAACTTAGCCTGATCTTTTATCCCCCTTCCTTCCCTTCCTCTTTTTGTGAAGATTGCCCGCTCTGGGATCCCACAGCTAATTCCCTCCTGGTCTCCTTGCTGGCCCAAATAGGACTAATTTAACCAGCTAGCCCTGGTGATCATCTAATGTTTATTGGATGGATTTCCCACCTAAATTGATTTTTGAATTCTGAATTTATCGTTATTCACATTTTATATTGTATTTTATGCTGTTTTTTGTTGCATCAAATGAGTGTTTCAAATTTGTTGTTAGCCACCCTGAGCCCGGTTTTCTGAACCAGGAAGGGTGGGGTATAAATAAAAAATTATTATTATTTATTAGATTATCAGGAATGATGGGAGATGGAGCCCAGCAGCATCAACTTCCATAAATTCTACGCACGTACATCTGCACTGACCCACTTGCACATACTGTATTGGCCTGAATACAAGCCGCACCCGCAAATAAGCCGCACCTTTAAAATTCAAGGGGGGAGGGAGAGAAAAAAAAGACAATACCCGAATATAAGCTGCTCCCTTAAAATTGAGTTACAGGCTAAAAATCTCTGCGGTTGGTAGAATTGTAACTCCAAGCCCGCAAAATCATACCATACAATCGCTAAAATTGCAAATCCCTTCAATTGCTGCAGTTGCGCAGGCACTGAAGTTCGCAAATCGGCAATAAAACCTTTTTGTTGTTCAGTTTTACCGTACGTCTGTTTCAGCAGCGGTATCGTAAAAGCCAGTTTTTGTAAGGTTGTGAATTTAAGCCGCACTTTAACTTTTCACGGTCAGAATTTGAGGGAAACTGTGGGTTATATTCGGGCCAATATGGTATCATTACTGTTCACTGCCCCCCCCTTTCTTTTTCCCCTGTGTGCTAGAATTCATATTGTATGTTCCTTGAGGAATTGACCTTTTTATTTAAAATTGGTTTGCTTACGTGGGCAAGTTCAGGGAAGAAAAGGTCCTCCGTTTCATTTCATTTCATTCATTCATTCATTCATTCATTATATTTGAGGCAAAATATACGGCTGGCATGGCTATTTATTTTATGACAAAAAAGAACAACATAAAAAAATTACAAATCACATAGTAAGAAAGGCTCTATTGGAAAGAACAAAAGGAAAAATTATTGAGAAAACTCCCCAATGGGTTTCACCAGTAGAGGCAACCACAACATTAAAGAGTAATGCAAAAGAGACTTGGCCAACATATAGGGAAATATTAGAAGATGCAGACGGAAATATTAAATTAAAAACTTATGAACAATTACAAACATTTGGAATAAATTGATTACAATATTATCAATTAAAAGCAACATATGAAAAAGACATAAAAAGGGGGAATTTTAAAACTTCAAAATTAGAAAAGGAAATATTGCAAAGCGATCAAAAAATACTTGCAAAAATGTATAGATTATTAATGAAAAGCACCTTAGACCAAGAGATGAAAGGGAAAAACATGTTAAAATGGGAGCACGATTTGGGATATAAGATAGATCTGGAAAGATGGAAAACTTTTTGGGAGAAAAACATAAATTTTACTGTGTGTGATTTATTAAGGGAGAATTTCAGAAAAATTCACCATAGATGGTACCTAACCCCTGACAGATTGTCAAAAATAAATAAAAGGAACAACAACAAATGTTGGAAATGTAACAGAACAAAAGGTACGTTATATCACATGTGGTGGACTTGCCCAAAGATTAAAACCTTTTGGGACATGATCCACGACGAAATAAAAACATTGATAAGGACATCACACACAAAAAAGGCAGAGGCATATCTATTAGGAATTTTAGATAATGATATCCCAAAAGATGAAACTAACTTATTTCTATACGCGACAACAGCGGCAAGAATTTTGATTGCTAGCTATTGGAAAGAAGACAGCATCCCAACAAAAAGAGAATGGTTGGGGAAACTTTTCTAGTACCTGGAACCAGTGGCGTAGTGTGGGGGGTGCAGGGGGGGCCAGCCGCACCGGGCGCAACATCTGGGGGGGCGCGCTCGCACTCGCAGCTCTCTGCCCCTACCTGGCTCACTCACTCTCACTGCAGTGCTGGCTGTGCGAATCCGATCTGAGCCGCTGGGTCGCCGCCCACTGTGGAGGGGGTGGGTGCCAGGCGTGCGGTGCGGAGAGAGAGCGAGGGACTATCTGGGGGAGGGACAGTGCAGCGGCTGCCCAGCACAGCGCTGAGCGCGGGAGAGAACCACACCAGACCAGACCAGGCAGCAGCAAGAAGAAGCTGGCAGCGGCGGCAGGTTAGGCGTTAGGGGGCGCAAATTACTTGCCTTGCCCCGGGTTAGGGGGCGCAAATTACTTGCCTTGCCCCGGGTGCTGACAACCCACGCTACGCCGCTGCCTGGAACTAGCAAAACTGATGGCTATAATAAGTAGAAAATCCAAAACTATGGTTATGAAGCAATGGGAGTTCTTAAACGATTATTTACAAAACCAGGGCTCGACCACAAAAATCTGGTTGTGTTTAGAATAATCTTGTGTGTAATATAAAAAATACAAAGTGAGACATCAAGGAAATCCAAAGGGAAAATATGAGGAACAGAGGATCTGACGAACGGATTATTAAAAACGCGTGAGGCAAACGGTGGAAGTCTTTTAAAACAACAACAACACTTTTTAAGGTAGATAAGGACAAGATAAAATTATACAAATGAATATAAATATAGATGGGAAACGGCTATGTATAGTGAATACTTATCTACTTTAAAAATTTCACCTATGATCCTTTTCTTTTACTTCTTTATTTATTCTTTGTTCTTTTCTTCTTTTTTTCTGATGCCTTATCTTTCATTTCACTCCTTTATTGTGAATAGCATTTTATAGAGGTATAAATAACTGTAAATATGAAAAGAGGTAAAGTATTCTCTCATTTGTTTCCTTGGTTATATGTATTTTCTCTTTCTTCTGTATTTTCTTTTGTTGTAAATATGTATGTTTTCTAATTTGTACTTAATATTTTTTTAAAAAATAAATTATATATTTGAGGCCCGTCTTTCTCTCCAAGGCACTCAAGGTGGTATACATACTTCTCCTGTCTCCATTTTATCCTCACAACAGTCCTGAAAGGTTCGCTAGGCTGGGAGATAGTGACAGGCCCAAAGTCATCCAGTGAGCCTTCAAGACTGAATGGGGATTTGAATCCTGGTCTCCCAGGTCCTAGTCTAGCACTCTAACCACTACACACTACATTTCTGAATTCAAGATGTACCGTATTTTTCGCCCTATAGGACACACTTTTTCCCCTCCAAAAATGAAGGGGAAATCTGGGTGCGTCCTATGGGGCGAATGCAGGCTTTCGCTGAAGCTTGGAGAGTGAGAGGGGTCTCGCTCTCCAGGCTTCAGGAACACATCCGCAGCCTAAGCAGCCCTGCGGGAGGTCCCGCAGGGTTGTCTATGCTGCGGATAGCAGCCTGCTTCCCGGAGCGCCGGGCGCCCTGAAAGCAGAGCGCCCGGCGCTTCGGGAACACATCCTCAGGCTAGGCAGCCCTGCGGGACTTCTGAAAGCAGAGCGCCCGGCGCTTCGGGAACACATCCGCAGCCTACGCAGCCCTGCGGGACTTCTGAAAGCAGAGCGCCCGGCGCTTCGGGAACACATCCGCAGCCTACGCAGCCCTGCGGGAGTTCCCTTTATTTCCCCCCAAAAAAACTAGGTGCGTCCTATGGGACGGAGCGTCCTATGGGACGAAAAATACGGTATATACTGCACTGAAGCTGCAAATCCTATCCCCGTTAACCTGGGAGTAAGTCTCTTTGAACACTGTTTGGCTTACTTATGAGTAAGCCTAGGAATGCATAATAATAGTAATAATAATAATAATAATAATAATAGTACTGTAGTAGGAGTAGTAGTAATGGCTTTAGTATCATACAGCAGGTGGCGCTGTTGTTTAGAAGCATTTTGTAGTTTTCACATGGTACACCAGCTTTAGAGAATAAAATCAAACCCCAGGACAGAGTTCTGTAGCATATTTAAAAGCACCATTTAGTGCTGTATAAATATTATTTGGTCACCTTACTGGTAATGTTTTAGCTGCTGGTTTTTGCTGTTCTAGAGATTTTGTCTGACTCTTTTTTTTGTTTTTGTTTTAAAACGCCTTTAATGTTAGCTGTTGTGTGAAAACGTGAGCTGAAGGTTTGTGGGATAATATATTTCACGATCAATAAATAAATTTATATGTTGTTCCACTGCTGGTGTAGCAATTGTGAAGCGACGAGGTTAGGGCTCCTACGCATCAATGGCATGCTACCTAGGAGTAAGTTCCACCGCCGTCAATGAGATTTTTTTCTGCATAGGTATTTTTATATGAACTCTTTGTGCCACAGCATATTTCGTTTGTGCAGGGGGAGGTAAAATACTTAAGTACTTAATTCGTTCTGGAGGTCTGTTCTTAACCTGAAACTGTTCTAAACCTGAAGCACCACTTTAGCTAATGGGGCCTCCCGCTGCCGCTGCGCCGCCGGAGCACGATTTCTGTTCTTATCCTGAAGCGAAGTTCTTAACCTGAAGCACTATTTCTGGGTTAGCGGAGTGTGTAACCTGAAGCATCTGTAACCAGAGGTACCACTGTAGTTGTTCTTTTATTAGAGAGCAAGTGCTAAGATGGGGTATGTCAGCTTGTAGGAAACAGAAACTTCTTCCTGCGTTGATTTCTTGGTATTTTATACGTTCTGACTAATAGCTTGCTGCGGTTGCCTTCAAAACCCATAACACCAGGGCCGGCTCACCCATGGGGCAGGGCGAAGCAGCTTCCTCGGGCAGAGGAAATCCCTGAAGTGTTGCCCCCACAGGTGCCCATCTAGTCCGGCATCCTGTTCTTACAATGGCCGGCCAGATCATAATAACTACTGTATTTTTCCGTGTATAAGACAATGGTTTATTATTATTAAAAAATGTTAAAAACTGGGTCGTCTTATACACGGATAGTGCAGAGGGGGGACAGGCGATTGGTGGCAGCCATGAGCGGGAGATTGTCAGCAGTGATTGGGTGTGTGGTTGGTGGCTGCAGCAATGCCTGCTGACGATTGGCTGCTGCTGCGGCAATTGGGCGGGCGATTGGTGGCTGCTGGTGGTGAGCGAGCAGACGATTGTTGGCTTCGGTGAGACGTGCGATTGGCAGCGGCGGTCCCCCCCCCAAAAGCTGAACAACTCTGGGCAATCTCCCCCCATTTCCTTAATTTGGGGTCCCAAAAAATAGGGGTCATCTTATACATGTGGAGGGACGCGGGTAGCGCTGTGGGTTAAACCGCAGAGCCTAGGACTTGCCGATCAGAAGGTCGGCGGTTCGAATCCCCGTGACGGGGTGAGCTCCCGTTGCTCGGTCCCTGCTCCTGCCAACCTAGCAGTTCAAAAGCATGTCAAAGTGCAAGTAGATAAATAGGTACGGCTCCAGCGGGAAGGTAAACGGCGTTTCCATGCGCTGTTCTGATTTGCCAGAAGCAGCTTAGTGATGCTGGCCACATGACCTGGAAGTTGTACGCTGGCTCCCTAGGCCCATAAAGCGAGATGAGCGCCGCAACCCCAGAGTCGGTCATGACTGGACCTAATGGTGAGGGGTACCTTTACCTTTACTATACACGTGGACGTGTTATACACAGAAAAATACGCTAGATCTAATTGTGTGACTCAAGACATACACTGCAAAACTTTGTGGACTTTGCTGTTTCCCTCCTCCCCATGTGGGACACAGAAAATCTGAAGGCAGGCATATTGCCACCCTGAATCCTGGCTCCCTTCCTCCTTCATGCGCCACTCCTGTGCCCTCCAAACTCACCTTGCAGCATTAACGAAGGAAATATCTCCACACCCTCTTTGAATGGCTGGTTTCATTCGTAGGCTGGGCTGAAACTAGGCGCAAGTAGAGGACGTGGCACGTGGAAAAGATTAGAGCCGAAGTGAGCTGCTCTCTTTAACTGCTGATCTAATTTTCATCTTGGAGGAAGCCACTTATTTTTTAGTCACATGCATTTATGTGCCCAGGCCTAGCGATGATGGCATCATTAAAAAATGTGAAACATTAACATAGGAGTTTACAATTCCACTTCTAGACCAGCTACAGTCATAACAGTCCAGATTCCAATAGAAATCTTTATGTGTTATTCTTTTTTCAAAAGGTTTAACAGGTTCTTTGTCAGAGTAGGATGATTGCTCACACTTTCTACACAAGGAACTTCTTTTTTGGGCAGGACCTGGGGTAAAAGGCTTACTTTGCCATATTGGGTCACCTTGGGTCATCTCTCAGCCTAAGCTTCCTCATTGGGTAGTTGGGGGGGGGCGGGAATTGGGGGAGACAGGAATGGACATAATCTTGAGCTCTTTAGAGCAAAGGTAGGATAGAGATGTAATCAACAAAATTACCGTAAAAATAAATACATGCCTGTATGGTGCTGTAGAGCCAATTCAGAATGAGGGCAGGAAGTGATCCTGTCATTCTGAATGGCCTAATACAGTGGTACCTCGCAAGACGAATGCCTCGCAAGACGAAAAACTCGCAAGACGAAAGAGTTTTTCGTTTTTTGAGTTGCTTCGCAAGACGAATTTCCCTATGGGCTTGCTTCGCAAGACGAAAAACGAAAACGTCTTGCAAGTTTGTTTCCTTTTTCTTAAAACCGTTAATACCCTATGGGAAACCGTGCTTCGCAAGACGAAAAATTCGCAAGACGAAAAAACTCGCAGAACGAATTAATTTCGTCTTGCGAGGCACCACTGTACTCTGCTAACCTCAAGGCTATATTACTGCAATGCGTTATACATAGGGCTGATGGTTTGGAAACTTCAGCTAGTGCAGAATTCACCAGAGCAAGATGGTTTGAGCATATTACACTGATCCTGGTCCAACTGCATTGGCTACCAATTAGTTTCCAGGCACAAAACCAGGCTGGTTTTGACCTATAAAGCCTTAAACGGCTCAGGACAGCAATACACCAAGGACCGCCTCTTTCCAAATGAACCTACCTGGACCCTGAGGTCATCTTCTGAGGCCCTCCTTCATGTGCCGCCGCCTCCTCAAAAGGTCTGGAGGGTGGCAACATGAGAACGGGGCCTTCTCTGCAGTGGCTCCCCGTCTGTGGAATGCTCTCCCCAGGGAAGTTCACCTGGTGCCTTCATTACACACCTTTAGGTGCCAGGCAAAAATGTTCCTTTTAAATCAAGCCTTTGGTTTATCTGTTTGACATCCTATGCCCTTTTAAAATGTGGGTCTTTTCGGGGGGGGCGTGTTATTGGGTTGTTGTTTTTATTCTGATTATATATGTTGTGAACTTTTCTGTGAACCACCCTGAGACCTCTGGGTATAGGGTGGGATATAAATAATAATAATAATAATAATAATAATAATAATAATAATAAGTGCTGTTAAAAATGATATCTGGAGGGAGCCACCCTGAAGTTCAGTTAGAGACTGTAATTTTATTTTGACAAAATATATGTGCACTGATCAGTGGAGATTCAAAAATAACAGGTGGCTTCCCCTCCCCCCGCCCCGCACAGCAAGACAAAGAAAAAGGGTCCTATCTTTTTTTCAGATACTGTGGCAAAAAGTGGCAGCCAACAATGCCAGCCGTGTTTTCACAACAGGAATCCAGATGTGTTTTCAGTTTTCATGCCCTCATGGTAGAGGTCTGCCAAAACGAGTGCTTCTTGTCTGTCCCCACGTCAGCAGAAAATTCCTGGATGCTGTCCCAGGAAGCCCTTGGAACGGGATTTGGCAAAGCAGCTTGTGGGGAACCCTCAGCTTGCAATGATTTTCCTTAAAAAACATCTATAGGCATTTAAAGGCTCCCCCAAATGCCGGATAAGGTCATGCGCACATGTAACAAATAGCTAGATGTAAATAGCCGACATACCAAGCAGGAAAGAAAATGGGAAAACATGACCCAGGGGTTTGATGCTTGGCAGAGCAGTGGAAATTTGCCTGTCCATTCATCACAATAGCATCTGAGAAAGGAAGCAGGGAGGCGAGGCGAGAAGCAAGGACACACACAAGCCACAGTGAGATGGATAATTCATTGCTGAGACTGGATTAGGTGAGCACAATTTAACATTTCTCAGCCAACCGGAGGAAGGACTTTGCAATGTCATTCTCTGGCCATTGTCACTCACACCTTGGTGTGACGTCCAGATTTGGTTGCAGTAACTTTCTATATGTGGAGGAGCTATCTCTGAACCGCATACCAAAACTACAACTGCTCCAGATGGCTTTTGTCAGAGTTTGAATGGAACGCAGTGTCCTGAACACATAACTTTTGTGTGTTCCCAGTTGGGCTCTAGGGCCGATTCAGAACGCTGGTTGTCAGAAGTCTAAACTGTCTCGGTACCAGGGACTTCATGCCATTCTATCAATATTTTGGACTTGCCGTAGGAAGGTTTATCCACCTGGGCCCATATTATCCAGTCAGCAGCTTGCCAGGGTCTTCTGGCAGAGGTCTTTATTTATTTCTCCTTGATCTAGCAGAAATTGCATCCTGCTTAATCATAAAAACCTCTAAGCAGTTTACATAAAGGTAAAGGGACCCCTGACCATTAGGTCCAGTCGCGGACGACTCTGAGGTTGCGGCGCTCATCTCGCTCTATAGGCTGAGGGAGCCGGCATTTGTCCGCAGACAGCTTCCGGGTCATGTGGCCAGCATGACTAAGCCGCTTCTGGCGAACCAGAGCAGTGCACGGAAACGCCGTTTACCTTCCCGCCGGAGCGGTACCTATTTATCTACTTGCAGTTTTTGCGGTGCTTTCGAACTGCTAGGTTGGCAGGAGCAGGGACCGAGCAAAAGGAGCTCACGCCGTCGCGAGGATTCGAACCGCCGACCTTCTGATCGGCAAGCCCTAGGCTCTGTGGTTTAACCCACAGCGCCACCCGCATCCCTAGTTTACATAAAGCATGCATAAAAAGCATGGGCAAAAATCAGAAGTTGCAAACAAGGTGACTTAAACATTCCAAAATATAAATAAAACCAGCAGTTAAAAATATACATTAGAAAATAAAATTCCATATTAAAATATTGCCTAAAAAAAAGTAGGCCCTGAAAACAGTGTAGTGAAGGTGCTTGCCTAACATCAATGGGCAAGGAGTTCCAAAGGGCATGTCCTGCTGTGCTGATCTTTCCCATCTCCTGCTGCCCGATCCTTTTTAAGTGGAAATGTCAGAGGTTGGACTTAAGACTTTTTGCATGCAGATAATGTCCTCTCTCACTATGCCATGTTCCATTCCTATCTAGTCAGCCTTCTTTTACTGTTTCTGTCCTTCCAGTATACATGTCTTGAAGGGAATCAGGACTGAAAGTGGCCCAAATTGAGATAAAATGTTTGTATCTTACCAGAGATGACAGCAAGCTTATCAGCAGCAGCGTATTTCTGTTATTACCAACACTCCTTAGTCGAATGCTCACTTTGGTTATTTTACATACATTTAAGCTTTAATAGTTTCTGATTTTCATTTCCTTCTGACTTCTCTGCTTGCTGTGCTGAAGGAAAGGTGTTAAAGCATTGCTAACTCTCTCTCCTGCATCCGAGGATGTTGCAAGAGGTGACGCATTCATTATCGTTGGTCCTGGGATAAACTGGGTCAAGGTGTCTGTTAATCCAGTTTGCTGCTAAAACTGCAGTGCTTCCATGCTGAGAAGATAGCAACGTTCAATATTGTCTCTGGGAACATTGTGTTGTTGTCTTCCTCTTGGTTTTTTTGTTTTTGCAGAACACACAAGATCTCTGATCCCTTTGGGTCTTCTTCTAAGTTCCACCGTCACAAGATATAGGGACAAAGGACACAACTAGGGCTTATGCTGACACATTTGTAACGAGGACTTAAAGTTTTGTGTGTGTGTGTGTGTGTGTGTGTGTGTGTGTAGCAGTCCAGGTCAATACAGTGGTACCTTGGGTTACATACGCTTCAGGTTACAGACTCCGCTAACCCAGAAATAGTACCTCGGGTTAAGAACTTTGCTTCAGGATGAGAACAGAAATCGCATGGCGGTGGCACGGTGGCAGCGGGAGGCCCCATTAGCTAAAGTGGTGCTTCAGGTTAAGAACAGTTTCAGGTTAAGAATGGACCTCCAGAACGAATTAAGTACTTAACCTGAGGTACCACTGTAGATGTTGCAATGTGGTGTCATTTTATGCTGGAAGTGGGGAAGCTTTGGCCCATGGGCCTCCTCATTTGGCCCACCAGCCCATTCCCCCCAAACAACGCTCACCTGTCTCACACCTGACATCTTCTTGCACCAGACGGGGCAGACAGATATGACAGGACTGAACATGCCGCGCATCAGCTGTTGAATGGGGACCTCAATCTTGCTAGGTTTTGGGTGCATAAGAGAATCCCCCTTTTGCACCCAAACCATGCAGGACTGAGTCAAGAGGTCAATCTCAGAACCCTGTCCCCGAACCCTGAAAAGAGCAGAATTTATCCCCTTGGGCATCCCCTTGATGCAGGGGGAGCTCAGTCCTGCTTGGTGACTATCCCCCCCCCCCAGGCCAACTTTGACAGGTAGGCAGGACCGGGCATCTAAAAGAAAATGGTGGTGGTGGTGGCAAGTGGGACCCTGACAGTTGTTCAAGGATGCCATTTTGTAGGCTGGGCTCACATGAACACTTTTACCACAGCAGTCAACACAGCATGAGATTCCCAGACATGTCAATGCTGGATGAATCCTTATAGCACCCCTGTTCATTTCCAGATGGGGATGTGGACATACTGAGCCTGACGATTCTGCAAACAACATACAAAAAATTGTGTGTGTGTGTGTATGAGAGAGAGAGAGAGAGAGAGAGAGAGAGAGAGAGAGAGAATTATCTCAGGTTGTTTTCAATTAAGGTTGTTCAAACTACACATGTGATGTTATTTATGGGGGTTTCCCTTGAGTTCAGTACAGTGGACGCTCGGGTTGCGAACATGATCCGTGTGGGATGCATGTTCGCAACCCGCAGCGTTCGCAACCTGCATCTGTGCACACGTGGGTTGCAATTCGGCGCTTCTGTGCATGTGCAAAAGCGATTTAGCGCTTCTGCGCATGCGCAACCGCTGTAACCCATTCTGGTACTTCCGGGTTTCGGCGGTCTGCAACTCGTATGACTATTTTCAGTTCACAAATAGCTTGTATGGGTACAGGAAGGCCTAGCTAGATTGTGACCATGGCAGGGCCGGTCCTCCCATGGGGGCGGTGAGACAGTTGCCTCAGGCGGCAAGCTGCAGACAGCTGGGAGGGGCAGTAGCAGATCAGGGCCTCAAGGAGACACCACTTACCACCTCCTGCACTTGTCACTCACCTCCTCCTCTGCCTCCTCCACCATTACCCCATCTGCTCCTCTTTGACTTCCATCTTATGCCGCCCCCACGCCTTCTGTGTACTTCAGGGCTTCCCCAGGCTGTCTCAAGTCACCTCAGGCAGAAGCAGTGGTGGAGGCAGCAGGGGAGGGGGATGCCATTGTTTGATTTGCCTCAGGCGGCAAAATGTCCTGGACTGGCCCTGAACCATGGCGTGGAAAGGGGCCTTTTTAGAACTCATATCTCATTGTCAATATTGCGGGGTCAGGACACTGCAAGGAGGAAAGGCTTAAAGCGCTACCTCCCAATATGCTTCAGAGGTCCAGACTAGAATCATAGAATCATAGAATCATAGAATCATAGAATCATAGAATCATAGAATCATAGAGTTGGAAGAGACCACAAGGGCCATCGAGTCCAACCCCCTGCCAAGCAGGAAACACCATCAGAGCACTCCTGACATATGGTTGTCAAGCCTCTGCTTAAAGACCTCCAAAGAAGGAGACTCCACCACACTCCTTGGCAGCAAATTCCACTGTCGAACAGCTCTTACTGTCAGGAAGTTCTTCCTAATGTTTAGGTGGAATCTTCTTTCTTGTAGTTTGGATCCATTGCTCCGTGTCCGCTTCTCTGGAGCAGCAGAAAACAACCTTTCTCCCTCCTCTATGTGACATCCTTTTATATATTTGAACATGGCTATCATATCACCCCTTAACCTCCTCTTCTCCAGGCTAAACATGCCCAGCTCCCTTAGCCGTTCCTCATAAGGCATCGTTTCCAGGCCTTTGACCATTGGGGAGCCTGGAAAAATTAATAATTACAATTCGGACTACAATTTGGTTGTTTTTTTATTTTAGTTTATTGATTTTAATTAGATTATGATGCGGATATGTTGATTGGCTGTTTTTACTGGAAAATCAATAAAAATGAATAAAATAAAATAAAATAAAGCACTACCTCCCACCCGATCCAGTTTGATACTCCTCCCCTCCTGCTGATTCTTTGCGCAAGAAAAACTTAGCACCCCACTGCACCCCACACGGATAATGTCACGTGCTGTTTGGCCTTGTGATAACACCATTGCTTGAATCAATGCTGCACTCTTGACAACACTAGTCCCTGCTCCCACATTCTGCTCTGTGAGTGGCCTGAACTCCAATTGCCAAACAGCTGAGTGGAAAAAGTGACCGAGAGTAAGTGTGACTCATTGACAGCGGGACGGACATACTTCTCAGGGGCTCTTTCTGTTTTCAGGCATAGCTAAGGCTGCCGCCGCTGCTTTCCAAGCAGGGATAGCCAGCTGCTATAGAGCTGAAACATGCATTTCTTTTTTTTTTAATGCATTGGCCCATTAACTAGCCCTGCAAGCTACGCTGCTCTTGCTCTCCACAAACCTTTGCCAGGACCTTGGCCTTGCCTCCGCGTCAGTGGCAAATACTGAATCATTGCTCCTGCCTGTTGAATTTTGTCCCACAGCTGTTAATATTTAACACAGGACCGTTGGCTTGAGGGAAATGAAGGTCTTCGGGGGGGAAAACAGCTGTTTTATATGCCCCGTGGTTTCAAAAACAACAAGTCTCGTAGCTTGGGGTGATCCAGTAGACATTATCGTTCGTTATTGCTTTTGGGGTTTGGGTTCAATGAACCATGAGCAGAAGGAAAAGAGCCCCTGGCAAATGCTCTTTGCACAACAGAAACATAAATGCACAACAGAAACATAAAAATGTAAGATAAAATACAGTGGTACCTCAGGTTAAGTACTTAATTCGTTCCAGAGGTCCGCTCTTAACCTGAAACTGTTCTTAACCTGAAGCACCACTTTAGCTAATGGGGCCTCCCGCTGCCGCCGCACTGCCGGAGCACGATTTCTGTTCTCGTCATGAAGCAAAGTTCTTAACCTGAAGCACTATTTCTGGATTAGCGAAGTCTGTAACCTGAAGCATATGTAACCCGAGGTACCACTGCACAGAGCTGGCTGAAGCACACTGGCTCTTCTTGTTGTGGGGCAGCGATCCACTGGGGCCGCTGCCGCTGCACGCGCAGATGCTGCTGGTGCAGGTGTTAAAAGTTTTGGAAATGCAACAGCCGCTAAGCCTGTCGAGGTTTTTAGTTTGCACACAAATCAACACCATGTAGCCTGATCTTATCCACTGGCACCCACCCACCTGTGGTTAAATGGAACAAGGTAACTTAGGAACTGATATTTTGAGGTATCACCTGTACGGGAGGTAGAGGAAGGTCAATTGTAATAATAGTAGTAATTGTAGTAATATTTCAATCTCAGCACACACACACACACGTATATAAGTTTTCAACAATTCCCAACTTTACTGGGTTCAAATAACCTTATTCAAGGGCATAAATGTCATTCATGTCCTTAATCGTTTAATCTTTTGTTTTGCCTGGATGTAAATCTTGATTTTTATGTGAGTTCACTCTTTCCATTAAGCAGGGCAGCAACTCATTAGACTTTCGCCCCCACGGCAAAATTTGTAGCTCCGGCACTGAGTGCCTGAGTAGATTCCCCTCCTCTTCAAAGTCTTTAAAGCGGCCTCTTTTAAATCGAGCCCGTTTTATCATCGGGCATCAACTCCAGTTCTTTGCCAATCGGCTAATTAAGGATTTGTGCTTAATTTAGCAAGTAAAACTTAGCTGGCCCTAGCAAGATACTTCCAAGTGCCGCCATGCCCTTTGACCTGTCACCTGAGGTGCGCAGGCCCTCTGGCAGCAGCAAGAGCTGAGAATATTCTGGGCAGCAACTGCTCTGTCACATCAGAAGTCAGTCCCTTTGTGGGCACAGCTTCAGTCCATGGTATACGCTTCACCTGATTAAAAATCAAGGCCAAAAATCCCACAAGCAGCCCTCCTACAATAAAGAAAGATACAGTAAACGGGCAACAATTTGCTGCCGTTTAAAAACCTGCCCAAATCACTCTGTTTCACTCTGCCTCTTTCTGGAGCCAGCCCTGGGTGACATTTGCTGAATGGCTGGGTGTGGGGCTGCCGTTCAGCTTTTGCCTAAGTGGTGGCTATTTAAAAACATGATCGGCCCAGGATCTTCAGTTGACGTCTCTCTAAAGGGGAGTTAAAGCTTGGAAGAGGCTCCAGTGATTTCTCTGGAATCTCAAGAGGAGGTCGTTTCTGTTGCAGCTTACAGAGTTTTGGATGTAGCAGTACCACTGATGGAGCTTTCTGGGCCAGAACAAAGCAATGGTGTGGCAAAATTGGTAAAAGAGCCAGAAATGAAATAGGAGAGCTATAAGGGGGGAAAATAAACAGTGATTATATTCGGAACTTGGCCATTATGAACAGCAGTTCCGCAGGATGAACTGCTGAACAAGCACATCCTGAAGCACACCTGTGGAGGTGAAATTTTGCTTTGGGATAATTACCGTATCTTTCCGTGTATAAGACGATTTTTAAAATTATAAATAAATGCTAAAAATTGGGGTTCATCTTATACGTGGATAGTACAGAGGAGGGAAGGGCGATTGGTGGCAGCCATGAGCAGGAGATTGTCAGCGGCGATTGGGCGGGTGATTGGTGGCTGCAGCAAGGCCTGCTGATGATTGGCTGCTGCTGCAGCAATTGGTCGTGTGATTGGTGGCTGCTGGCGGCAAGCAGGCAGATGATTGGTTTCTTTTGTGAGGTGTGCGATTGGCAGTGGTGGTCAGGAGGGTGAACGATTGTCGGCAACCCCCACCCCAAAAAAGCTCAACAGTTCTGGGCAATCTCCCTTCATTTCCTTAATTTGGGATCCCAAAAAATAAGGGTCATCTTATACATAGGAGCGTGTTATACATGGAAAAATACAGTAATATGGCACATCCTTATGGCAATGGGGGCTTGTTTTCATTCAAGGTACTGGGCTTACCAAATCATATCCCAAGAAAGGATTCTGTGTAGGTTGTGCTAGGCAGTTGCAAGCCACACAATTTATAATTTTGATTTATTATGATCACAACTGCATATATAAAACTGCTTTGAACTTTACGTTGTATAGATATTACATTACATGCTGACTATTGTGTTCTGTGTTGCAAACTACCCTACATTCTTTTGATTAGGGGTGGTATATATATTTAACAAATTAATAATAAACAGATAAAATGGGATTAAATTGTGTGGGATGCAGCTGTTGCAGTTTGAGTATAGAACACTCACACACCAAATGTGCAAAGTAATAATTGGCAATAATAATTGAAGGTATTTTTGTTTTTTGTTTTTTTACTAAACAGTGTTGTGTTTCTCTAGGGTGGTCAGTATAAACTAGATGCTGAATCTGCTAATACACCATTGTTGCAAGATCAGTACTGGAGAACCACCATTCCCATTAAAGGAATCATCAAAGACCAAACATGTTGATGAAGCGATGTCATTGAACAGATTTGTAAGGCTCTCCGAAGGTGAAATGGTGCTCTGGTGCTTTTAAGAATGGCTAGCTGCCCTTTGCGATCTTGTGGAAAACAGACATTGATGTGAATTTTAATAGGGGTTTCACTTTGTATTTTTGTATTGCAAATAAGTACCCTCAGTCGTCTGAAGCTCCGCTGTATTTTCATTGCTGATGTTTTTAGAATGCCTGGGTTATTTTTAAATCCAGAAGTCATATCTGCCCTCTGACCTAATCAAGGACACATAGATAACCCATCTTGTCAAAATGCCAAACAGTGCCACAGTTATGAGGTTAGAACAAAAACATTGGCCTTGCTTTTAATAAAAAAATATTTAGGCAGCTTGCAATGCAAAGTAAGGGCAACTGCAGCTCCCATCATCCTTCACCATTGGTCCTGCTGTCCGAAGCTGATGGGAGTTGTGGTTCAGCAAACAACTGGAGGGAAAAGGATCTTCACCCCATCCCGAAGAATCGAAGATGACAGGATGGCAATTCATGAGCAGTAAAACTGCTAACGGTTGATGTAACATGTACCGTATTTTTCGCTCTATAAGACGCACCAGACCAAAAGACGCACCTAGTTTTTGGAGGAGGAAAACAAGAAAAAAAATATTCTGAATCTCAGAAGCCAGAACAGCAAGAGGGATCGCTGCGCAGTGAAAGCAGCAATCCCTCTTGCTGTTCTGGCTTCTGGGATAGCTGTGCAGCCTGCATTCGCTCCATAAGACACACACACATTTCCCCTTACTTTTTAGGAGGGAAAAAGTGAGTCTTATAGAGCAAAAAATACGGTATATGGGTGGCTGTTCACCCAGAGAATATGCTATTCTTGAGCATGGGTGGAATGCATCAGCTTTCTTCCAAAACTTGCTGAGAGGGAGTCATGCATGATAAAAACAGGAACAATGTCTTGGTAAAAGAAAGCATGGGACTAAATGGTGGTGCTTGGTCTGAGGCAGCGCTGGTCCACCCATGAGGCAAGGTGAGGCAACTGCCTCAGGCAGCAGAATACACAGGGGCAACAGATTCTGAAGTCACTCTTTATCCCCCCACCCCTTGTTCCTGATGCAGATATTCACTCGCCCCTTCTTCCCTGTCAATGGGGGGTGGGTGGAGCGGCGGCATTTTGGGGTTTGCCTCAGGCGCCTAAATATCTTGGGCCAGCCCTGGCCCAATTCAGAAAGAATAAAATGATAGTAGCATCAAGTGTTTGAACAAGGAGAAACCTCTCTGTTATGTACATCGGACAGAGGCATAGATTCACATTGGAGACCACTTCAGATGGCCAGTGGCAGTAGGCAGGCAATGAGCTGGATTGGTAGTGAAGGAGTTTTTGAGTGTGATTTTGAATTAAGGGAACCTATGGGCCTCCCAGTAGTGATGTATAGAAGTGAGAGCTGGATCATAAAGAAGGCTGACTGACGAAGAATTGATGCTTTTGAAGGAGGAGGAGACTCTTGAGAGTCCCATGGACTGCAAGAAGATCAAACCTATCCATTCTGAAGGAAATCAGCCCTGAGTGCTCACTGGAAGGACAGATCCTGAAGCTGAGGCTCCACACCTGATGAGAAGAGAAGACTCCCTGGAAAAGACCCTGATGTTGGGAAAGATGGAGGGCACAAGGAGAAGGGGACGACAGAGGACGAGATGGTTGGACAGTGTTCTCGAAGCTACCAGCATGAGTTTGACCAAACTGCGGGAGGCAGTGGAAGACAGGAGTGCCTGGCGTGCTCTGGTCCTTGGGGTCACGAACAGTCGGACACGACTAAACGACTAAACAACAAACAACAACATGGGCCTCCAGGTGTTGCTGGACTGGTTTTCACCAGGATTGGCTCAGGATGTTTTGCTGCTTCAGGCAAAACAGAAAATGCCACCCCCCCTTCCTGCCTTCATCTGCTGTTACCCACAGCTGTGGCCTCCTCTTCTGTGTCCACCTATGGCTGCAGCCGCCTTCTTTGTGTTTACCTGCAGCCACCAGGCACAGAGAAGGTGACTGTGACAAAGGATGAGATGGTGAGATCTGCCACCTGAGGCAACTCCCTCACCTTGCCTCATAGGTGGGCTGGCCCTGGTTTCCACTATCCCTGATCATTGGCCTTGCCAGCTGGGTCTGGTGAAGGTTTGTTTATTTTCTTATATTTCTGTCCTGCCTTTCTTCCATCCATCATGGAACCAAAGTTGGAGTCTAACAACATCGGTAAGGTAAAAAGCTTCTCCTCCCACCCTGGATTTTGTGTGTGTGTGTGTGTGTGTGTGTGTGTGTGTGTGTGTGTGTGAATAAATCTGTGGTGTGTCACCCTTTCCCCAATATAGGTTGGTCATGATAAAGAAGGAGCAGCAACATAAAGTTGGAAACGGTATATTTTGGAGAAAGTTGCTTAAATTAGAAACGCCTACATGAATAAATTTGAAATCTCTCTCTTTTTAAGAAGTGCAGCCCTGTGTCTTCTAAAAGTGACATTTAAGCTGCAATGATAAATCAATGACTTATTATTCACTGTTATTCTTAGGCCTGAGCGCCCTAGTTGCTATGGAGTACTCAATGTAAGTGTCAATGAATCAATCTGGTCCCTGATGAATGGCCTGAGGCCTTTAGAACTGAGCTATTCAGATTATATTTCACTGTGCTGGGTTATACTCAAAGCCACACAGGGGGAGTCACAGAGGAGATTCAGGCCCCATATTTAAAGCACATTCAACAAACACTGAAAGCATATAACTTCTCCCAGAGAATCCTGTGAACTGTATAGTTTGTGAAGAATGCTGGGAATTGTAACTCAGTGAGGAGGAAACCAGGATTTCCCAGGATTCTTTGGGGGAAGTCATGTGTTTTATATGTGCACCGAATGTGCTTTTAATGGATGTGGATGTGTTCCAAGGGATATGCTATAGCTCTGCTATTCCACCCCCACTAAACACTATTTTAATTTTTCGTCTGCAACACCCAGCATCTTTTCCCACTCACCTGCGGCAGGAGCAGAGCTCGCTCAGCCAGCAGATCCGCAAATGCTGAAAGCTTGCTGTGACTAAGGAAATATATTTAGCAACTTCTAAGGATGACTCAACCTGTGGATGTGACACTTGGAACAGCCACCTGAGACTTCTCGAAAAGGTCAGCCTCTAGAAGCAGTGACCTATTTCACTCTCGCCATACAGGGACAGGGAAGCTCCCAAGGTTTCACTTTAGAATAGGGGTGGGGTGGTGAATATGTGCCCCTCCAGATGTTGTGGGATAGCAACTCCCATCAGCCTCATCCAGCATCTCCTCCTTAAAAGACAATGGCGGTTGTGTGCTTGGTACATTTCTATCCTGCAGTTGTCCCTGACCCTGTTTTGAATCTTGACGCACCGGTTACAGGCCAATGCCCCCCAAGGCTGTTATCTTTCACCTCTCTGCTGCAGCCAGCCTCAGGCTACTCTCTCGTCATTCGCTTTTCAAGATCGGCTGCTCTTCCACATGCAGCCGGTTTCATCACGGCATGATCTCCTGATTCCCCGTGGTCTTAGCCAAGTAATGGAAGTGAACCAGAGTTCAGGACTGATGAGCAGATTATGAACTCACCTACACCGCAGCTCAAGGCTACCTGGAACCAATGTCCTTTGAGCCAGCATCTCTCTCCTCCAGCCGCCCTAATTTGAGCCCTGAAAGAGCTGACTGCGGTGACTCAGTGGCAGGGTAACACATACAGTCCAAACATACAAGTGAGCCTTGTTAAAAAACAAAACCCAGCCTTCAAGCTCAGCTGTACCACAAGATGCCCAGGTTTACCACGCACATATCAACATATCTCTCATTATAGTGTACGTCTGTGTGGACTTTAAACATTAGATCAGGAGTTGCGGAACCTCAGGCCTAGGGGCCCAACATAGCCCTCCAGGCAGCTTCAGGAAGTATGAGGCCCAAAATTGTGGATCCCCTCCAAACCAGTGCTAAAACTTCTGTAGGGCTTTGTAGCACAAACCCCCCATTTTTAGAGCCTCCAAACTGGGTAGCTGATATTCTGGTTATTTCTGGTTATAACACAGAAAAATTAAGTAACTGGGGCAAGCAAATGTAGCATGTTTGATTGGAACAGCCGGCTTGGAAGGGATCCAAAATTTTGAGGTTCTCAGTTAATGAAGCTCCTCCAGGCTTCTCTTTTTGGGCCTTTGGAATTTCCCTCAGGTCACAAACCTCCCAAGCCACATTCTCCACCAGCCATGATTTGCACCCCCTTTTGAGTATTTTTTTGCCTGAACTCTGATAGTGCTTTTTAATTACCTGGATGGGAGATAGAGGGGTGTGTGAGAGAGTGTGCAGAAACTAGCTTACTGTACAAAGGTAAAATTTACATTCATTGCTCCACCCACCTTTGCCCCTGACTCCACCCACCATTGGCATTCCAGAAGGGAATTTGGCCCTCTGGGTAAAATAGGTTCCTCGACCCATATTAAGTGCTTTGGGAGCTAATGTGGGGACAGAAGATGGGTTTTAAACATAATAAAGACCTCAAAAACCCTTGTTGACACAGTGGAGACATTTCCTCCTAGATTTGAGCCTGCCTGCCAGCTCATTCCCTTCCATCCACTCAGCCTCCTTCTCTCCCTTGGGTGGTTGACCAAAATGCAAATTCCACAGAAGACTTTTGCCTCATTTTGATCTTTTGGCAAACAGCAGAGAGGAAATCAGGAGGCAATAAATAAGACGCCCTGAAATCCACTCAAACTGTCACTGAATGAGAGTGACAGACCGTCAGCAAAACTTAAGCAAACAAACCCATCTGCTTCCGAATTATTTCTGAAAATGCTGCCGTACCAGTTTGCAAAAGCACACCCTGCGTAAATCTTCGCTTAAATCAACACGTGAGTCATAATAAATCTGTTAGTCTTTTCATATGATTTTGGTCACACCAAAACTATAATTAGTGAAGTGCAAAGGAAAACACAGTTGAAGCAATTCTTTGGTGCTGTCAAGCACATGGCAGGCATTTTTCAGACTAGTTCATATTGGAAGAGGCTTTTTTTTTAAAAAAAAAGATAGCTGCCTTTAGAGATTAGTGTGTTGCTGTTTTTAATTTTTTTAAAATTATTATAATGCGTTTTATGTGTCTACTGGATTTGCATCCTGCTTTTTGACTGAAGCCCTGAAAACAGCTCACCCCACATTCCCAGGCATCTTATCATTCATTGCTTGGTCCCTTTTGCCCCTTTGTCCTTTATTCTTAATTCCAGTCCCCTTAGGGCTCAGCCAATCTTTATCCCATCTCTCCCCCATCCCAAGTTCCTCTTCTGCTTTCAAGTGTTATCAGCTCCCTCTATCTTGGGATGATCAATTCTTTCCCTTGGCTGCTGCCCTCTCTTTCTTACCCAATATCTTTGATTCTTTCCCCCCCACTACTTATAACCATCCACTGAAAAAACAAACAAACCCAGAACTGGAGCACTCAGATCATTGCACCCAAGCCTCCCACCTAATTCCTTCTGATTCTTAGCCAAAAGCTTTCCTATAGCTTCATAAAAATCAGCGTTTTCCTTCTGATATCCCCTCCAGCCAGATCTCCTGCTTCCCTCCATTTAGCAAACATCCTCTCCCATTTCTTGTCCCAATTCTTACTGCATTGCATCCTAGTTTTAATGTGCACTTTTAAGAATATAATTAGTTTTTAACTCTATGAAAATTAGCAGTTAAGTGTGCTGCTTACTGGTTCTATTTAATTAATATCCCAATTCTGTTTTGCTACATGAAAATTTATGTTTATGTTTGATGCCCTTGTTAACTCTTGGGCTACCAAATTGTGCGCATCCAGGTCTCGATGTCAGAAGATCCGAAAAGGGGTGTGAGGATTATGTGTGAGAACTGCAAGTTTGTGGGCAAACCGCACACTTCATGGCACACCATAGGTGGCTTTTACCATTACTGTACCGGTCTTGTTTCTAAAACAAAGAAAAAAATAAGGATTTCCTAGTAGGAGCCATATTGATTGCATGGCATTCATTGCATCAAGAATATTATGTTTCCATGGACATTAAGTATGCTAGTTACTTTGTTCTAAAGTTCCTTCTCTCAACAGCTCCAAGAGATAGAAAGGTCAGTATCTGTTTTGTAATGAATACATTCTGTTACGTAAGTTCTACGAGTAGTCCTGCTCTAAATGATTCTCAACTTTATCTTCTACTTTAGGGAGCGGGAGGGTTTATACAAAGGCTGTTATCATTACACCAGAGCAAAGATCTGGCAAACACACAATCAACCTTTCAGAAATGGTGTAACATCAAAGTTGCTTTAAAGGTTTGTATAAAAGACTGTTACCACTTTTTCCTCTGATCAGCGGAAAGGGAGACTGGTGGAAACGTCAGTCATCTTTTGCAAGCAAAATCTAAGTCTTAGTAAGTTAGAATGGAGAAAGTGAGCATGCTATGCTGGTGCGGGAATAATGTTGAAAAGAAGTTATTGCTAGGGGTGCAATACACAGGGTATTTAGCTCATTTGCCACAGGAAGTCAGCCAAACCAGTAGTTTTCTGACCACACCCTTGGGATGGATTTTGGTTTACCAGGGCACTTAAACCGTATCTTGTGTTAGACATGGCATGCTGTCTCCCCAAACAGCATTATGTCAAAGGTCCAAGTAACGCTGCTTCATAAAAATGAACTCTTCAGTGACCAGAAGAGGAACTGTGTGAAATGGCTAAAAGCCTACTGTTCCGAACCTTGCTGAAGAATATTCTCACACATTCTTCTCATGCTCAGAATTATTAAAATGTAAGCTTCTGGTCAGATGCCAAGCAGAACTGGGAAACAGACTCCAGTGGTTTCTGATTACTACTTATGTCGAGGACCAGGAAACTGCACACTTTACACACCAAAGCCAATAATATATCACATGCATTCTCATGGCATGGGCCAAGCACTTTAGCATTAACTGGAACGAATCAGTAAATACAGTGTTAGCACGGACCCCAAAGAAATAAAAATAAAAAATCGTCTGCTTTTACTAACTCTTGATCAGACACAAACTAGAAAGGAAAATCATTACATAAATACCTTAGGGAACTGTTAACAGGTTTTACAACACTGTACCTTCAATCAATCTGTTTCATTATAGCTGTAGGAGGACACCCGCTCCCTGCACCAATGCTCTGGAGCAAAATCCATGCAACTTCACAAGCACGTTGAATATAAAAGATGAAGTAATGGCAAGATGGATAACTTTTTACTTGTATGAAACAAGTCTCCAGTTATTTTGTTTTTGCAATGCAGGTGGCTATGCATTACATAGCTATCCCAATTTTGAATATACTGTCATTTTTTTTGTTTAAGATTAGAAAGAAAGAGTCACAAGTAGAAAGGTCAGACCGTTCTCCTCCTTCAGACAATGCTGGAAATGTGGCATGCTTTGCCTGAAATGCTTTGTATGAAAAACAGCACACACAAGGGGAAAATGTTTCCATTTTAATTCCTTACCCCGCTACAATTGTCATTTCCTAGACCTGGGAACAAGCTTGAAACTGATTAATGCTCATGTCTTGCAATTACTCAAGGCTATCTGAAGCACTCCCATGTCAAGACAAAAGAATAATTTTTGCTGGCCATGTTTTTATTTGTTTCTCTTTAAAACAGGGGTGCCAATGATACATAGTTTCCCAAAAACAAAAACAACAAAAACCCAGAAGGCAAAACAAACTGTCAGAAGACCGAGATGCTACATGCTACATTTAACCTAATTATACTCATGCTTGCTTTGGGGATGAGACAAAGGGCATCATTCAGTAAAAACATACAGTAAAAACAAAATGTCTGGCCATATAGAACTTTCAACCTACAGTAATGTTGTACCTTAATTGCTTCCATGCACACAACTAACATTACAAAAATTGTTCTTAAAAAATTAACACAATTAAGACTTCTAGGAGCATTTTATAATAAAACAATTCCTAATTTCTTTGTAGAGAGAGATCAAGCACCTCCAAATTGCAAATTCCTATACACAGTGAGTGCCTTACTTGAAGAGAAATCTCTTTAAAAACTCATATGGATCACCTCAGAATAAGGGGATGTTATTTCATCTCTATTTCAGCTATGTAGGCAATAAACCACAGTGCTAACAAGAACTTTATCTGTAAAGCAAGTTCAATTTTTTTTTACTTTCTATCATGACAGAAAATATAATTTGCTAAAATAAATAAAACGCTGCATATTAACATTTCCACTATAAAGAAGGCATACCAGAATATTTATAAATATTGAATGATTTCTCCATACCACCTACTACAATAATGTTGGCTAAATAGAAGTGCATTATGAAAAGCACTATGGGTGGTTAATGTTTTGCCACATACTGCTGTTACCTTGAGGTAGATAACACATGCGTACCAAATTCTGCATTTATTTTTCAGTTGCTGCTGGTATCATGTGTCTAAGAAATGTGTACAGTATGAAAAATTCTAAAATACATATGAATGAAAATGTTTCAGGGAAAAATAGATATTTTCATGCAAATATGTATAGTCTCACTGTGTAATTTTCAAGGCAAGATTCTTATTTTTCCTCTGCAAAGCATGAACTGTTTAAACTGAAGAGTGTTTCTACTTGGTTTAGTGCATTTTATTCTTGTTTCCTCCTGCAATGTGCATTGTTTTGCTCTGTTCTTTACTTTTGTGTGCAAATGACATGCCAGTTTTAAAAAAAAGAATTGTCATGTAAATAAAGTAATTCTGGATTGTAAAAACAATGGTAAACAGAAAACTAAGGAAATTCATACCAAAGTTAACATTATCTGATTTCAAGTAAAAAAATTACTTACAATAAAAAAGAACACACATTTCATGAATACAAAAAGAAATGTCTGCCGTTTAGTTTAGGTGTTTCAGAATGCTGCTGTATGTTTTGTGGGGAATCTGAGGAGATGATTTCATAGCAGACGGCGTTAGCGTGGCCTGTATGGATTTAAGTGGTGACCCAATGGGGCTGTGAAACTGAGGAATACCTATCGCTTCAAGGTGCTTGTTAAAGAGAAATTCCCCACTATTGCTTAAAAAGCTCCCCTCTCTTTCTTTCTCCCCAAGCTTCCCATCTTCTACTGGCTCAGTTTCTAGCATCTCAGCATCTTCCTTCTTGCTAAAAAACCTGTCCAGGTAACTGGTGTATGGATTCTCCTTCTCAATCTGCTCATCCTTTCTGACTTCACAACAAAACTGGTCTATGAGGAAACATTCCTCCCCACCATTTACGAGCTGCCCATCCCATGAATTTTGGTAAAGAGCTTCCAATTGGGCCAAGTTGGCCATTCCTTTCTCCTGCTTCTCTCTGCTTACTGACTTGGATATGCCTTTCGACTCTAGGTGGGACACTGAGCTATTCAAGTCATTTAATTTGTCAATATCAGTTGACTCGTGCTGCAAACTAAGCTGAATAGTTTCCGCAATAAACGAATCAAAATCAAACCCTTGATTCTTCTCCTTCTCTTTTTCTGCAAGCTGCGAGGCTTCCTCAAGAGCTATCTGAGCTTTCACCAATCCATTCCTTTCACATTTTGACTTGCCTTTTTTATCTGACTTCTCTTTGCTCTGCTCCTTCCAGTTGGAAAGATCTATGATAAGCTTGGGCTCATAGTAATGGTTCACTTCACTCTCTCTCCAGACCAGATTATCTAGGTATGAAGAGGACCTCATTTTGTAATTACAAGTGTGGCTACATTCCAGATCACAGTACTTGTTTTCATGATGATCTGGATACTGCCAGCAAGGCTCAGTGGAAAAGTGGGTATCAAACGCTGGATCCTCTAGATACTTTTCACGATCGCCATCCAAATATTTGCGAGGGTCTACTTGTACTTCTTCCTCATCAGTCCCATCAGAAAGAGCCTTTGGATCACGCTGAACTTCATCAACTTCAAAATTGTTATGACTAGGCCAGTCATGGTCTGAAAATTGACTGTCATGATATCTGTAATATTAACGGCTGATGTTAGTAAATTACAGGCATCCACTTGCTTACATAGTGCAGAAGAGTCAAGACAGATAACAGCAATGAAAACTATGAATAGCCACTCATTTTAGACTCAATGGTATGGCAAGTCAACTGGCAACTTTCCACACTCTTCAGAAAGCTTTAATTTTGAAGCTTTTCTCAGTGACAGCAGAACTCATTCCTTAGCATACAATTTACGAAAGGATTGCATCTTCATTTAAGGTGATGTTAACATTTCAGTGTCCTATTTCAGTTGCAGATTTCTTAGCAGAAGGGAGAAGAGGAACCTTGACTCCCAACAATCATCTCCAAAAAAATGGTTTTTTTTGTTTTAACTGCTGCATTTAGCTTTAACCTGAAACTGCAACAGTTTGAGAACTGTTTCAAAATTACACATTTAGATAATGGTTCCAAATATGGGCTGGTGTCATCAATCAGAGTTATAAAGTGCAAACTCTTATGATAAGGAATTTGTGATGCTTCAGTGAGTACAATGTTAATTTTACTAAATGCTCACAGCAAGGTTTCCTCCCCATTGGGGTATTCACATCTTGGTTATAAAATGGAAATCAATGTATTTGGGGAAGTACATTAACAAAGATGCCACTATTCTGGAAAGTCACATTATTTTCCCAATACATATTTTGCATTGGAATGTACAAGATGCTGCTCATCATTCTGTTGCAAAACTAGCTACAGAACACCCAGTGCACATGGACTTTTATCCCCTTAGCTGGTCAGCTGAAGCTAATGGGGTAAGTGGTTTGGGACACCATGCAAATGGTAGCAATTAATTATAATAATTAGAACGGAGAAAATTCTAATCTAATTTATGGGGGCGGGGGGGGGGGCGGATGAGAAGAATTTATGCTCCAAGATCCTTTTCCTCCTCATCATAGAAATGCTTCTCCCACCTTAGAGCATTCCATCACTGTTAAAAGAAGAAACCAGCTGGTGTTTCAGGCACAGTTGCAACATGCAAACAAAATGATTGTGAAGCTGTTTACCTTTCCCAATTATAGATGTGGCTGTGACTTTCGTCCATGAGCAGAATATCGTCCACCTCATCCTCAATGTGGAAAGGATGGCTTGAAATGGGCTCATCAGTTGGAAAGGAGTAAATACTCATATAAGGATGGGACAAAGCTTCTTCTGCTGTCAATCGATCCATGGGACTAAACGTCAGTATTTGTTCCAGGAAGTCCAGTGCTAAAGAGGGCAAAATGAATAGCTGGCTGTTTGTTTGTTTTTTAGTCATTCTCTAGTAAGACAAAGTATGAAATGCAAAAGCAATGCTTACATTATTTGTGGACAGGTCTTAATTATTTCAATTTTCTGAGCACTAGAAACAAATATTTAGTAGCCAGAAAAAATGATTAGAGTGCCAGTACTATGCAGAGGCAAGGGTTTTTTCTCATTTTTTGCTGCCTTTCCCTCATTGTGGAACCTCATTTGCTCCATTTTGCTGCTTGTAGAAGACTATATGATTTGTACAATTGCAAAAAGAAAGCACTGTAGTGTTTTTAGCTCACTTCTACAAGCAGCAATGAATCTGATAGAGACAACAGAAAGAAGTGGGGTGGGTGTAAATATGCCAGGCTTGTAAATACTGTAGCTACTTGCACCTGGTTCAGTATGAGAACAAAGAGTTACATCCTAGCAGCTACACAGGTAAACTTTATGAAGGACAGCTCTTTTGTCTCTTTTAGGGCACAAATCACTAGTACTTCCCCATGAGGGAACACAAGAAAAGCTTCTTAGGATTATACACTTTTGTGGACTTGTTTGGACAAAATACATAGTGTCCCCAGTAGCAGCCATCAACTGTTTCTACTACCTACCATGATTATACATTTTTTCCCAACCAGCACAATTCACTAGGGGACTAAGCTCTCAGCCTTGCACTGCCTGGTCTGATTCTCCACGGAATACTGAGTTTCTGTTTAACTCAGCAAATCAGACAGCTCAAGGGGAAAAATGATATTCCCACAGAACACAACCCTTTCCCAAGAGGACTCAGGAACTGGTATAATAAGACACACACAAAAACAACTCAATCCACAATTCACCGGAGATTGTCTTGCCCCCAACATGTGTGGAAGGCAGTGTTCATGGCATGCACTAACAGCCTGAAATGTAGATGCCGCTCTTGCCAAACCAGCTCTCTGATGACAAAAAGAAGGGGGAGAGGAAAGAAGAAGCCAAATTACCTTCAGGGCTAATGCCTGGGAGGAGCTGAGTTAAAGGTTTGTGTGGCTCAGTCATATCATTTTTAATGTAAACTGGGATTACGCTAAGAAGTTCCTGACGATCTTCCTCGTGCACAACAGGAATTGATTCTAAAATCAGCTGCATCTGTTCAAGTTCATGGGCACCTAAATGTGAAGGCAAAAAGCACATCAGTCCTGTTCCAGACACCCATTTATTCATCAACACAGCTAAGAAATTCCTTATAATGCCATAATCGTTCCCTCTATGTACCCAGGCTTCAGAGGGAGAGTGTAGTTAGTTAGGTAGTCAAAGTAGCAGTACCCACACACATCACAGGCATAGAAGAATACCAAGTATAGAAGTAGTACAACATACATTGGGGGGGGGAGGCTTAAGTAGGTGGGCAAGATCCCCAGAAACAGCCCAATGGGGGCTGAACATGCTCAGTCGCCACAGAACTATAGTTGACTGACTTGGGGGCAAGAAGCAGTGGAATGCCTGGAATCCTGAACAGCAACACCCCAAACTGGAACATTTTGTTGCAGCCTCTACTTACAGGACTCTCATTTCCCACCCTTAGAAAGAGTTAATAGACGTTTCCCATGCAAACTCCAGAAAAAGCTATCAAAGTTACCTCTTCCTGCCATTAATTAGTTACAGACTCTAGTTGGCCATTAGGTTTAGCTCCTGACTTAAAAACAGGTTCCTCTACCTTAGTGGTGAGTTATCATTTTCCAAATTACAATGCCCCCAAAGCAAACAGAAACACCACCCTGTAACACCCCATTCCTTTCCAACATTTTCCTTGTCAGTCATTAGTTCAAACAATACATGAAATCATGAAAAAGATCTGCATCATTTTCTGTACATTTCTCAATCTGTAGTATCAAACAGGTACCAACTAACCTATTGGTCATCTCGATATATACTTAATTGCTATTAAAATGTTCCAAGATGGAATTGCTATGGATTTCAAAACAGCTGTTAATATGTCACACCTCTAGGCACTAACATTCATGAATGGATTAAAAGCGTTGGCCACTTTCACTCCAATAAGCTCTTTGCTTTTCCACACTGAAGTTTTACTGGCTACATCAATATAACGCACAGAGGTCTTATACTTAAGATGACAGGTTTGCACCCATCCTTCTCCACCAACCTGCAAAGAGAGTTTTTCCTGTGAGCATTTCAGCAAAGATGCAACCTGCAGCCCACATATCAATGGCTTTAGTATAGTTGTTGGGCGATAGCAAGAGGCGAGGTGATCTGTACCATTTAGTAACCAATCCTTCGGAAAGATGGCCCTACAGAAAGAGAAATTTTACTTGCATTTGATTTATCACATTTGTAGCCTGCCCTTCCTCCAAGCAGCTCAGGGGAACATATTTGGGGTGATTTCATTTTCACCTCTCAACTCTGGAAGGTCAAAGAGCAGCATGGAGAGGTTTGAAAGCCCTTTGTAAACATCTCCAAGCAGCTCCTTTGTAGGAAATTTGTAGATCTTTGGCACCACCAAGGTGTTGCTGGCTTTTACTTTGGTTTTATTCTGATGGATCTTTTGTTTCTTATTTATGCCTGTATTGTATTGCCCATCTTTACGTACCTTGTGAGAATAATGAGGATCCATGATCCGTGCAAGGCCAAAGTCACCAATTTTCAGCACCAAATCTTCAGTATTAATGAACAGGTTAGCTGGCTTGAGATCTCTGTGCAGAACGTTTGCAGAGTGAATATATTTGAGCCCACGTAGCAGCTGGTACATGAAGAGTCTGGCATGTTCTTCCAGTAATGGCCCCTGCTCTAGCAGGTTAGCCAGATCTGTCTCCATGTATTCTTGAACAATGTAAACACAGTTCAGTTCTGTAAGAGAGCCTACATCATCTGTCAGTTGACTTCCGTTGGGACCAAGGATTTCAAACACCTTGACAATGTTATCATGGTCAAGTCTTCTAATAATTTTGATCTCACGCAGAGCATGTTTAACGCTCTGAGGATCTGTAAGCACAATTTTCTTGACAGCCACTCGTTTGTCACAGTCATTATCGACAGCAGAAAAAACTAAGCCATTGCCACCACAGCCCAGAGGTTTCAAGTCCATATACCGAGAACCTACATCAAAACCATGAATGTTCATTAGGCTTTCAAACTTCTCTGCCATTATGTTGAAATTCTTTTGTGTTGTTTTTTTCCTTTTAAAACTACTAAGCTTCTGCAAACATGTACAGATGCTTCCACTGGTATATGAAGGGTCTTGCAGAAAAGGAGAAGAAAAATTTCAGGTTGAATGCACGATAGTTTTCTGACACTCTCATTGCATTGCCAGTCAGGCCCGTTGTATCCCCGTTATAATTAGAACTTGAGCAAAGATAGAGAGGTTGCAGCATTCATAGTTCAAGGAAGGTGCAGCATATCCGCAGACATTAAAAGGAAATACAAGGAAATCAAACGGAATGAAGTGACATACTATAGACTCCACTCTACTGTGCTAAACTGCATTTAACGAAAATGTGAATAAATATGCACGTAATAGGCTTCTATTAACATCCTCCTCACAGTGCAGATACATTCAGTGTTGGACTGGTCCTGAGCAGCTTCATTCTATGGTGTTAAATAAGCACTTTTCTCTCCTCTTCCTTTCTTCTTTTCTTTTGTTTAGTTCGTCAAGGAAGAGGCAGCTTACAAAAGAGGCTGTTAGTTAATGATCAGGTGGCTCCAGCTCACCACAATCACAATCAAAGCTACCATCCATCTTGTTCTGTGAAAACCTGAAGAAAAAAAAGAAAAAGAAAAGCCATATATCAGCACTCCCAAACCATACATGCTTTTCAAACAAAGAGTGTTTAACAGTGCACTCTTTCATAATTGCTTGCTGTGCACCAGAATGTAAAATACAGGGGCAGAACTAGGCATTATGAATCTTTTGATCTACTGGAGAAACCAGAAGCAAGGCTCATCTCCTTATGAACAAGTTGCTTCTGGTTCATCAAGAATTCTCCACCCCACACAATAAAGAGAGGCTCTTAGTTGGTACAGTTCTCAAATTTCTTCTTTACAAGCAAGTTGATATTCAACTACAGTGGTATCTCTACTTACGCGCACCTCTCGTTATGTATCCTTCGGGATACGCACACGACAAACCCGGAAGTATTTTTCTGGGTTTCGTCATGTGCGCATGCACAGAAGCGCTCTATTGCGCAGAACAAGCACCTCTGGTTGTGAAAACCTCGGGATCCAACCGGAGCTCCAGAACGGTCCCCTTCCACAACCGGAGGTACCACTGTATCTGGTAAGAGCTTAGAGTTGAGGCTTCAGCTCACTGGTGTGTGTTTTTGAAAGGGAAGTTTAAGAAAAGCTATTGAACTACCAAAGTGGTGCATGTACTTAAAGGAAACTTAAAAGGAAACTTGCGCCTCTATGGAAGGGAGGAGCATTTCATACTTGAAGATAAAGTCTGGAAATAAATCTGAAAAACTAAACATGGGATACAAGAAGCAAAAAAATTCAAATTCTTCAATTTGCTGTTGATTCATTAAGTTATGTATCCATATGCTTTATGATGTATCCAACATAAAATATAGAATCTTGGTTAAAACATCTATGTGGTCTCACCCTAGAATGGAGCAAATTTTACACGGTTTATGATATTTATAGTGCTGCTATATGGTGGCAGAAGCTTGCAGGAAATATGAACATTGAGATAAAGTACAGTAACTATAAGCTATGTTATGTGAAGAGGCCATATTACTTGGAAGTATTGCTGTGGCTAGAAAGAACTTTTATTTATTTTACTAAATTTAAAACTAAGTGGGTTATGCTTGAGTGAAATATTAACCCCTCCCCCCACTATTCTCTTACACAAATAAGTTCACCCTTTAAGCCAGGGGTGACTAAATGTCCTTGAGCTGAGGACCAGAATGACCCATGGTCAACCCTCTGTGTATGTTGAAGTGTGCATGGCCAAAGTGTAAAAATGGTCATATTTTGGAAGTTGGGGTGGGGGGAGGCCACACAAAAATTAACACCACAGCATCACAGCTGGGAACCTATGGGAATAGCCAGTAAAAAAACCAAAAATATTTTTAAAAGTTAACATATTTTTTTAAAAAAATATGGGGCTACAAAGGTTTTTTTTTTGGCATTGTGACATCACAGTGGGACACCAAAAGTACCAGTTTTAAACATCTTTTTTTTTAGTGATAAATTTGAGGGGCCACAGCAACCTCTTGGGGGCAGTAAGGCTGCCCTACTTTAAGGTATATCAACCTTTTAGGTTAGACACACAGCTTCTCACAACCTAGCTTGATGATTGTTACTTCAACCAGTGAAATCACTTCATATAGAAATGATATTATTTTGGAAATCTTTAAATTGTGTTTCAGTATTATCAAGTAGGTGCCTATTTCTCTTTATGTCCAGAGTTTTTGCATCCAGCTACAGTCCACAAAGTACATACAGTGGTGCCCCGCAAGATGAATGCCTCGCAAGACGAAAAACTCGCTAGACGAAAGGGTTTTGCGTTTTTTGAGTTGTTCCGCAAGACGAATTTCCCTATGGGCTTGCGAGTTTGTTTCCTTTTTCTTAAAGCCGCTAAGCCGTTAATAGCCGCTAAGAGCCGCTAATAGCCATGCTTCGCAAGACGAAAAAACCGCAAGTCGAAGAGACTCGCGGAACGGATTAATTTCGTCTTGTGAGGCACCACTGTATTTTGAAATGCTCTCACTGACATCCATTTGAGGCCTACAAAATTACAGTGGTACCTCTGGATGCGAACGGGATCCGTTCCGGAGCTCCATTCGCATCCTGAGTAGAACACAACCCACGACTGCACGTCTGCATGTGCGCGGGTTGCGATTCGCTGCTTCCGCGTATGCATGTGACGTCATTTTGAGTGTCTGCGCATGCGGCGAAACCCGGAAGTAACGTGCTCCGTTACTTCCTTGTCGCCACGCAGCATAACTTGAAAACGCTCAACCTGAAGCATATTTAACCCGAGGTATGACTGTACTTTGAAGAAATACATCTGAGGATAGCAGACTTAAAGAAATGTTTAATTATCTCAAGAGTGAAATGCTGAAACTGTTTTTGGCAACACAAGAGAAACTGTCTCTCAACAGTTTGTAGCTTCTAGCATGAGAATTTGTTCAAACTATCACCAAGAGTAAAACTGATCACTCAGTGTTGGAAGGAAAGGTAATATTTGCTACAATTTTTTCATAATAAAGATGAAACATGTCCTTAGCTTACAAACAACTTGATTCCTGTTTCCATTGCTATGCAGATAATCCAACAGAAAAACCAAAGGAGCCCAGCAAGATATTGGCTTGTAGTTCTGTAGAACTACCCGTGATTCATTTGGTTTAGGCTTGTGACAACTTAAGGCTTCAGTTCTCAGCTTTTCTGCATTTTTTCACCCAGCTTCCCATAGCAGTTAAGCAATTATGGCTACAATCTTAGAGCTCGTCATCTTTCAAGTCGTGGCTGAAATTTAAACTATTAAATACAGAATGGTGCTTTGTCAGAAGACCACAGGGCAGAAAATCAAAATGGCACTTCTGAGTCACAGTTGCATGCTTCAAACAGAAAGGGATGCTATTAAAATTAACTCATTAGGCACACTTTTCTGCCCATTCATATTATTAGTACCAATAATAATAATAATAATAATGAAATATTCAAAGTAGCTTTCTGGATCTTCCACATGCAAATATTCAAAATTGCCAAGAGCTTCTTATGACACATCAGTATCAGCCCTAAGTTTTAGGATCAGTCACAGCTGCCTTCCTTGAAATGACAGGGGAGGGGAGAGTACTCTACAGGAAGTAAGAGTATTAATCATTTCTGTAGGGCTTTGCCATTTTCACCTCATTTACACCTACAATAACCTTTAGAGGCACAATAGGCTGAAAAACTAACTTGCTTAAGGGCCACCCAGAAAGTTTTACCACCAAGCCAAGAATTAGAAGCTGAATTAGAATCTTCTATTCCACATCTAGCTGGCCCTCAACAAAACATCTGTAGTGCAATAAGTGTTGAAGGAAAAATAATTTTACACGATGTCATGATTGAAACAGAAAGAAAAGGCAAGTGAGTCTTTTCCCCCGGGTCACTGTAATCGTACCTTATTGTATTCAAGGAGCAAAAATTACTTAGCTGGGCTTTTTTAGAATAATAGGAATATTATGCAGAACCCAACTACCAGCCCCACAACAGTGTTCCTGGTTTACCAGAGAACTATGAGTTACATAGAAAATAATGTACAGTTATTTAGGTTCTGAATATAGATTTTCTGTTAGTGGCAACACATGCACGGAGACTGCTACCTCAATACTGTTGGCAACATAACCCTTTCAAACAGATACCCATTAAAAAAGAATATACTAGCCTACCTTTACAAGGAATATTGCATTCCACTGATCACCATTGTGCATTACACTATTTTTTGTCAATTTCACAATAAGAGCTGCTAGTAAGGCTAGCATTTTGTAATGACAGTTACACAACTCACTGATGATCAGGTCATAATAGCAACTCCTATTTTTATTACAAGTAAGAATCTGCAAGTGTTAAAAGAAAGCTGTTATACAAGGGGATAGAAGTCCAATCTCCATATATGTAACTATACAAGTGCTTATGTGGATTCTTTTTTATCTCAGCCACGTTGCACACTGTAGGGAGTGAGTCATCATAAGAACTCATGAAACTGCAGCTCTTTTTCCTCAAACCTCCCACCGAGTCTCCACACATTCCGAAATTGTTAACTTACATATGCTCAAAATGAATATATTAAGACACAGCACTTTCTCACCAGAAACAAGGGATCAATAATTCACATCATTAAATAAACCACTCCTTTAAAAATTGTATACTGTTTAATCCTTGTCTTGATTTGCTTCCCAAAGTTATTGCTGTTTTTACAAGAATGAACTGCTGAGGGGAAAGACCCCCACCAACCAGCAAATAAGACAGTTCACAAAAAGTAGATGGTAGCACATAATAGAAATTACTACTTCTGCTTGAATGTTGATATAACCCACTACCTTTTCATTTTCTATGCTAGAAAATAATTAAGTAATTAACCTGGATTAAAGGCAAGTAATTTTAGCCACCCCAAACTGCCTTCAGCACTATCACCATGAAGTTTCAATAGTTAATCTGAGATTATGGGCCCCTCTGGTATGGCCCAATGCAGGCTCATTTTCTTTCATTTAGCCTACAATCCTTTGCGCATGCTTCTAAGTTCCATTGCTGGGACATACTTCTGAGTAAAAATGCATAACAGTATCCTGCAGTTACTTGTAAATTAAAGAATATAATTTTCTTCAAAAAGAGACTTCCAATAGAGCTTAGTAGGACCTAATCTCATGCCTCTATGTGCTTTCTAGAGAAAAGCTATATACAGGGCTCCTTCTGACTGAACCACACAAACTGGAAAGTGATCCTGGGCCCTCCCAATAAGAGACAGGGAACCAGAACAGCTTCTGCATGTAGCAATCCTGGAAAACCACTGGTAAAAAAAGTTCACTTGCCTGCAATTATTTTGTCTCCTAACAATCCTTCTGCCACAGCCTCTTTGCCACAATGGATATTTTCCTCCTCCATGTCACTGTTACACACAACTATTATTAAACCCTCTACTAGTTGGGTGGGCCTGATACTTTAAACAAGATCTTGGATGCCACTGTCACAGAAAAATCTACCTTCAGATGTCTTTCAGTTGCCACAAAGGGAAAGGGGTGATGGGGGGGAACGAGAGAAAGAGAAAAGGTTCTGGGGAAAAATCCACAGTTCCATTCAACCGCAGGGCCCCCCTTAAAACCTCTGTCGTTATTATACCGCAACTGCTTTTCACACCACAAGTTGCTGCTTTCCTGGGGCAGTTTTTAAATAGAGGAGGCAAGTGCCCATAAGATAAAAGGGAAAGGGGGCAGTCGGGTTCTCTAGTTCCTCTGGATGAAAAGAAACACTGCAGCAGTTGCTTTTAAAGGCGCAGAGCAGGAGAATGGAGGCCGGGAAATCAATGAAGAGTGTCCTAAGGGCGAGAGGGAAGCCGCAAGTGCCGCAGTGCCTGGTGGCCACATGGGGGAAGGGGGAAAAGAGCAGACGGGGACAGGCCCCTTTTGGGCAGAAAAATTTGTTTCGCAACGGAGATTTCCACGTCAGGCGACACCCGCCTAACGCATCCTTCCCACTCCAGAGATGAAGAAATCCGCGAGCGCGTCACTGATCCGCCCTCGTGGTGATCAGAAAACCCCTTTTCTGTCCACTTTAAAAACAAACAAAAAAAGGTCGGCCAGGCAGCCCTCTGCGTGTTTACTCGGAAGTAAGCCTCGCCCATTCCCAAGCAAAGCATGCCCAGGGTCGCCAGCTTTCACAACGCAACCCTATGCGGCTTTTTTTTACACGGAAGCTAGCTCCGTTCGCGGGTTAAACCCACGCTGGAGGGTTATGATCACGGATCCAAGGAGAAGAGAGCGGCCCCTTTGCGGGGGTCTACTCGGACACGGGTGCGAAAGGGCCCCTGGCTAAATGCCACCCGGCCTTCGCCTCCTCACGGGGGAGAAAGTCCCGCCGAACTCAGTGGGGCTTCCCCGCGAGTAACAAAAACAAACGCCTGCCTGGGATCGGGGTGCTAAGAGAGGCCTCGTGGGGGCGGCGGGAATGGCCGCCACGCGGGACCGCCCGCCGCCCCCGAAGCACGTCTCCCCTCGCCGGCCTCCATTGTCCCGGGCTTGGGGCGAGGAAACGGGAGACGGCGGGCTTTTGCCCTTTCCCCGAAGCCTCCTCCTCCTCCTCCTCCACCTCGCTTCTCAGAGGCGGGAAGGGCCGCCGCCACAAAGCGGCCCCAGGGTTTCTCTTCTCGCTTTCCCACCCTCCACTCCTCAACCCTCCGGTCCTCCTCGGGCACGGAGCGCCGGCGAGGCTCCGCCGCACTGCGGAAGGCCTGGCCGGGCTTCCCCCGCCGGGCAGAGGCCCCGGCAGGGCGCGCGAGAGGCGCCAGAACAAAGCGCCTTTGTGCAGTGGCGGCAGGAGCGAGACTCGCGCTCGCACTGCGGCCCGAGCCTCGCCGCTGCTCTCGGCCCTCCGTCTCCGCCTCCCATGCCGGACCCACCGCCCGCCGCTTTCCCGCAACTCACGGCGCTGCCCAGGCTCATGGAGAAAGGAGAGAGAAGCCTCGGAGCTCCGCCGCCGGGCCTTGGCGGAAGGGTCTCGGCGCCAGCGACAGAAGCCCTGCTCCCGCCGCGGCTACTTGCCATGTAACCCGGCTACGAGGACAAGAGAAAGCGGCGGGCGGGCGAAGCGGAGAAGCTCCGCCTTCGGGTGGAGCGGCGGGCGGGCCCGAGCTGAGGCGGCTCCGCCTCGCCAAGACGGGGAAACGTGGCGGTTGAGGTCAAGGCGGCAGCGGAGGCGGCGTGCGGCCTTGTCCCCGCTGAGGGGAATCTGCGCCTGAGAGGCTCGCGCCGACCGCTCGCCGCACAAAACAGCAGAAGCGGGCGACGACAGCCGGGTCATGGCATGACTGTCATACATAATAATAAAAATAATATGACGAGGGCGACAGAAGGGTGATGATATGTTAAAAGGCCACATGATAATGAAGCGCGAGAAGAAAAGAAATTGGGAAAAAAGGATGCCTTTCTCTATTCTGGATGTGGATGAGGGGAGCTCACACGGAGTATAGTGACCCTAAAACGGAATTAAGTGCAGAAATCAGGCATAGGCAAACTTGGCCCTCCAGATGATTTGGGACTACAACTGCCATCATCCCTGACCACTGGTCCTGTTAGCTAGGGATGGTGGGAGTTGTAGTCCCAAAATATCTGAAGTTTGCCTATGCCTGACCTAAATCATGTCTGGACAGATTAGGAAACATCCGCCTTCTCTGAAGGACCCTTCATCTCCAGGCCCACTTTTATCTGCAATCCAGTCTCAGAAGTAAGAACCAACTGTATTCGCTAATGAGGCCTTCTTTCTTAGGGAGTTTAAGCCTAAATACATGAAAACTTGAAAAAAAAATTCCTACAATTTTAACTACAGCCTTCATTTTCATCTCCTTCCTCTGTTCCCTAACCTGTATCAGTTTTTATTTGTAAGCCGCTAGGGGCAGGGACTTGTTCTCTGTGCAGAGACAGAGTACAGAGATAGATGGTGCTATACATAAATTGGGACTATTTCACAAAGCTTCGAACCCCTTATAGTCTGGATTATTTAATCTGAAGGAGACTTGAACCAAGTCTAGGGATTTTATGGCGTTTAAAACCATTTACAGCAATCTCCATCTGGCACTCAAACCTCATTGAAGCTTGATTTTAAAACCAGTACAGTATGCCATTACATGAATCAACACAGATAAATTTACTCCTTGAAAACAAGTTCGTTTTTTACTCCTGTTTCAATTCATGCTGTAGAGACATTTTATCAGAAGTTAGGAGGAGGCTATTTAGTATTGCCCCCTTCAAACACCCCAAAACACTGTGCCGAGAGCAGAATGAATGATCTGCCATAATGGTGGAAAATCTGTTAGACCTAGAATAAAAGAGATGGGAAGAGGAAAATAAGTAAGAAGAAGAGTTGGTACCTGAATTTGCTTATTATCCTCTTCCCTCCTGACCCTTTTTCTTTTTGAATCCCATCTATTAGATTGTATGTCATTATTTTGAATGACAGACCACCTGAAGGGCACCAGCAGAAAGACAGTAGGTTAAACAAGTAAAGTACAGTAAATAAATAAATGCGTAAATTGTTACATAATGGCCCCAGTGGCAAAGACAGTTCTGGGAAGGGAGGAGTCAAATGGCAGTTGGTCCCAGCCAGGCTGATGGAGAGAACTATGTATGGCACAATAACATGGCATCATAATGCAGAGTTCAAGGGTGTGATCTTATTATGCAGCAGTCAACCTGTATGGGGATCAATGGGCTAAAACTCCAATCTTTCTATCACCCTGATTGTGAGGTCAATAAAAAGGTATCTGGGGATGAGCCATAACCTTGATGAAAGGCGGTTAAATCTGGAGTAACTATGGCCATAACCAAAACATATATGTAAATTATTACTGTACCGGTTTAACAATCATAAAGGTAAAGGTACCCTTGACCGTTAGGTCCAGTTGCGGACGACTTTGGGGTTGCAGCGCTCATCTCGCTCTATAGGCCAAGGAACCGGCATTTGTCCGCAGACCAGCATGGCCAGCATGACTAAGCCGCTTCTGGTGAACCAGAGCAGCGCACGGAAATGCCATTTACCTTCCCGCCGGAGCAGTACCTATTTATCTACTTGCACTTTGACGTGCTTTCAAACTGCTAGGTTGGCAGGAGCAGGGACCGAGCAACAAGAGCTCACCCTATCGTGGGGATTCGAACCGCCAACCTTCTGATCAGCAAGGCCTAGGCTCTGTGGTTTAGACCACAGCGCCACCTGCGTCCCTTTAGCGCCACCCGCGTCATAGCTTTACCCAAATAATCCTGGGAACTAGTTTTGTTAAGGGTGATGAGAGTTATTAGGAGACCCTATTTCCCTCACAGAGCTACAATTCCCAAAGTGGTTTAACAATCACTCCCACTTCCCAGGGGGACTCTGGGAATTGTACCTCTGTTTTTTCCTAGCAGGACTCATGCATGACAGACTGAAAAGTAACAGGTGAAGTGCTCCCTGGCATGATGGAGAATTGCTTCACCTGTTGAAGCATTCTGTCTTCAGTGATTCCTTGGATAGCTCCGTGATAGGGGAATGGGATGTGACCTTCTAGGCCAGATGCAGCCATCCTTTGTTGGTCCTTCAGCTTTGCTTAATTCAAAAAGGAACCTGCTAAAATGAGTTGTTGGCCAGGGAGGTAGATTGATGACTTGACCATTCTTCACAGTGGGAAAGTGTGAACATTACGTTTTGAGGAGCTATGACACAAGATCAGAGCTTTGAGGGGATGGGAGAGGGCAGGCAGCTGGCTTGCTGGCTCATCAGACAGTGGACATTTCGGGAGGTCCCGCGATAACACCTGTGAAAAGAGTGGCAGATCACCATGGATGTAGCCAGGATTTATTTTAGGGGGGCAGGATTTATGTTAGGGGGGCAGGACCGAGTTCTCTGTGAGGTAATTGGTCAGTTAATTATTTTTTTTATTTACTTGATTGGGGGGGGCAGCTACCCCCCCCCCCAGCTATGCCCATGTAGATTGCCATGAACCTGGTGATTACTGGTACCTATTTTTCCTAGAAAAAAGACACTGCCCAAGACCATGATTAGGGGGACTGGATGAAAAAGGGGGGGGCAAGAACTCTGCTCTTTAATAGTTGCGTACAAGAAAGCCTATCAGTAGGCATTGTGCGCAATGCATTAAAGCAGTTCTGCCCTCTTTTTCACATGAATATCCTATTTCAGTGGTCCTCTCCCAAAGTCCCCTCCCCCCACTTGAAAATTGCTGATGGTCTTGCCGGACCCCACTAAGTGGTTTTTCTGTTTGTTGTAGCAATTGTAATGCGTGATGCTGTCTGATTTTTATTGTCCTTTTATTGTTGCTTTTATTTCTTGTATTCACTATTTGCACTTCCATATAATTTGAATTGTTACTCAAGAACATGCAATATAAAAAAATAAATGAAGCAATAAAATGGAGTTAAACATCACAATGAATATTTAACGTGGGTATACTGCAAGCCACCTGCATGAAGTTTGTGGACCACCACAATTCAGGAACCCCAGGCTTATGCATTATCAGGAATTATCAGGACATAGATGTGCGAACAGGGCTACAGTTATGATCTGTAAGATCAACCAAGTACTATCTTGCATCTATCACGCTTCTGCCAAGTTCAGACAATAAATCGTATTCTCAGCAGCTGTCTCAGTGGGGAACTCCCTTTCCCTAGAGACTTGCCTGAACATGAGCCTCTGTATCTTTTGGAAGCACTGTGAAACCACTCCTCACATATACCAGTTAGGAACTATACCTCACACTGGAGGCTGCCTATTTAAGCTAGTAGAATTAGTTGGCCCAGGTGAAAAAGAGGACAAGGCTCTTAATACCTTTGTTGTGTAAAAAAGCACATTTCAGCAGATGCAGCTCTGGGATATAGGAAAGACCTTGGGAAGGAGGGGCGAGACACAGAAAAGAACTCCAAAATTGTATGAAGCATCCTACTTTCAGCAAACTTTAGGTCAAAGAGAGGTCACATCCAGCTCCCCAAATGGTTACTTTTTATAGAAAAAAAAATTGTAAAAATTATTGTTGCTCCCACAGATCCCGTTAAAAAGTTTTTAGTGGACCTTCATGACCCTCCAAATTTGTCCATTTAATTTCTACGTATTTCATTCATACACACACACACACACACACACACACACGTATTGCTCTCACACCCCATTGTGATACCAAAAGTTGCCTTTTTTTTTTGTCTCTCCCTCCAAATTTCATAATTTTTTAAACAGTAATGTATCCAGTGCTAGTCTTACTCAAAGCAGACCCATTGAATGTAATGGACATGGCTAATTTAGGTTCATTACTTTTAATAGATCTTCTCTCAGTTAAACCTAGTTGAATGCAACCCAAGAATTATGGAAACTGATCACTCCCATGGGTCTTCTACTATGATTTTGTGAAGCCAAAAGGTTGTGGTTTTTTTTGTCATCCCCTGAAAGTTTTCCTTGCTCTGAAAAAAAAAATTAAATTGACCACACTCACTTTTACACTTTGATCACACCCATTTTGACATGAGTGGGTTCATTTTGGCCATTGTAGGCTTGTTTGAGGGCTGGAACAATTAAATGGATGATATTGCATAACTTTGATTATTCTTGGGACAGTGCTTGGGTTCTGGGAAAGGAAGGATAATAGCAGGTGCTCATAGCTGGTCTCTTATCATATGGCAGGTGTGAATTCCTTTTGTTGCATTGTAGCTGGCCTTCAACATAGCAACAGAGACAAGGCCTGAGATTTCTAATCGTGAGCTTATTGGAAAATGCCAGGTAAATCTCCTCCTCATGTTCTCTGAATAGAGACATATCAACGAGAGGCTTTGAAAAATTAGTGACAGAAATTGAGGCTGGGTGGTATTCAACTAAGTTTAATGCACAGTGGACCTAACTTCATTAATTTCAGTGGGTCTACTCTGAGTAAAAATGAGCTGACTACCACCATCTCTCTCTCTACAGAAGGAAACAAGAGAGGCCTCCCTGGTTGATCTCAGAGAGTAGGCAAGTTTACCGTATGTCAAATGATTTGGTCTTAGGATCCATTAAGCAGTTAAAGGATTTTAAAGTCCTAAGCAGAACTTTGACTGGGCCCGGAAATAGACCATTAGACAATGAAGGTGATGTAAAAGGGGATATACATGCTCCTCAAAACTGACTGTGACCAAAGGTTTAGCTGCTGAGTTATGAACCAGCTGAAGTTTCTGAATATTTTTCAAAGGAAGGTCCACAGAGTATAGTAATCCAATTTTAATGTAACCTCCATGTGTGTCACCATGGTGAGATCTGCATTTCCCAGAAACTGTTAACAGCTATTTTAACAGTCTAAGCTGGGCAAAAGCCTTCCTGGTGACCCAGCTGAACCAAGAAGGATGTGGACAGCTTTATAATAGTAAAGAAGACTCACTTTGCCACTGATGGATCGACAGCACCATCCCACTAGTCAGAATGGGGAAGCCCAAGAAAGGCCTACTGAATAGCACTGCATGGATACGAATGGTGAGCATTGTTTCTTTGCTACCTGCCACTGCCACAGAGGAAGCAGCTATACCCCACTATACCTTTAAAGCTTGTTTGAAGCACACACACCTCTCAAAGACTTCTGGGAACTGTAGTTTACTCATAAGGGAGTTCCAATTTTCAGCAATCCTTTGCAAACTACACTGCCCATAATTCTTTGAGAGGGGGAAAGTGCTTTGGATGTGCTTTAAAGTTTTCTGCCACCTTCATTCAAGTCATGATCATGTCTTCCTGGTTAATCAAGGAACTGAATGAGCTGTGCTCTTGGGGGTTATCATGTCAACCACCACACTTGGTAATGGCTTGAAGACAGAGTTAATGGGATAAGAGATTGATATGGAGCAATAAATGTCAGGGTCAAGTTTGGTGGCATCAGACTGCAAATGACACGAGGGAGAGGTGGCATGAATGATAATTCATCCCCAAACTCACATTGACAGAGTGCCGAGGGAGCGTTCCCATTTTTTTCAGCATATATTGACACACAGTGAAGACCTATAGGCTCTACCAGATATTTGTAACTCATGGCACTTCAGATGTTGTTGAACACCACCTCCCACTAGCCTCTGACAGCATTTATTGATTTAGGAAAAGCTATAAACCACTATAGACAGCATCTTAAAAAGCAGAGACATCACCTTGCCAACAAAGGTCCGTATAGTTAAAGCTATGGTTTTCCCAGTAGTGATGTGTGGAAGTGAGAGCTGGACCATAAAGAAGGCTGATCGCCAAAGAATTGATGCTTTTGAATTATGGTGCTGGAGGAGACTCCTGAAAGTCCCCTGGACTGCAAGAAGATCAAAGCTATCCATTCTTAAGGAAATCAGCCCTGAGTGCTCACTGGAAGGACAGATCGTGAAGCTGAGGCTCCAATACTTTGGCCCCCTCATGAGAAGAAAAGACTCCCTGGAAAAGACCCTGATGTTGGGAAAGATGGAGGGCACAAGGAGAAGGGGGCGACAAAGGACAAGATGGTTGGACAGTGTTCTTGAAGTTACCGGCATGAGTTTGACCAAACTGTAGGAGTCAGTGGAAGACAGGAGTGCCTGGCGTGCTCTGGTCCATGGGGTCACGAAGAGTCGGACATGACTAAACAACAACAACAACATAAACCACTTAATATAAAAAAACACCTCTAAGTAGTGTACATAAACTACTACAAAGTAGTTATCAACAACACAGACATCAAATCAGCTAAATTCAAAAAACCAAGTATATATGCTGTCTCTGAAATAAACAAAATTTTAAGAGGCATCTAAAACAGGCAAGGGTGCCTGGCCAATGTTGATACTGACACATTAAAATATTGACCCCCTCGGGTCGGTGGAGCACACATAAAGTACAAGTTCCACAGATCTAAGTGGTCGAATAGGCATGTAGGGGACAAGGTGATAGTTCAAGTAAACTAATCCCAAGATGTTAAGGGTTTTATATATTAACTGTAAAACCTTGAACTTGGTCTGGTAGCAAATCAGCAGCCCCTGCACTTCTTTGAGCAAAGCTGTAATACGCTGATAGGATCTCATTCCTGTCAACACTTGTGCGGCAGCATTCTGAACTAGCTGCTGTTTCTAGAGCACAAGTAAGAGAAGCTCCACACAAGAGTGCCTTGCAATAATCCAGGATTGGTCACCAATGCCTGGCCTATTGTGCTAAAGCTATCCCTGTCTATGAATGGTTGCAGCTGCCACACTTGCTAAAGCTGATAAAAGGCACTAGTAGAATAATGGCCAGGAGTTGTGAGCAGCAAGTCTTTCAATTTTGTTTTCTCTCAACTTCTCATTTGTCTAATCTTAAATTCAGTCCTCCACATTTCCACATAAATTTGAGGGGTTTTAAAAAAATTGTAATGAAGATTCATCAGCATTTTAGTGCTCATGTCTTCTAATAAACACATTTTTGAAAAGCAATCTTGCCTAATGTAATGCATTTTTAAAAGTTGCCTTCACTAATATATGCATTATTATGCACCCTCTATTCTAGAATATGCATTTTTGTACACATTATTTGCCTGGAGAACTGCACTGAAAAATCTGGAAAAGTGCAGATTTTGAAATATGTCTGCGTATTGTTTGTGTATTGTTTCAAAAAGTGCAGATGACGTAGGTTTGCCTTTAGATGTGAACTGAAGTGATTTTCTCCTTCATCTCTAATATTCTGTAGGGACACAGGTTCCCCACTCCTAGGCTATCCATTTAACCACTTCACAACAGTCAGTATGAACTAAGCTCAAGCTGACTGAAGAAACTGGCAGAAGTTAGCTGTTTGTACTTAGGGCTCATCCACACTTCCGCTTTCCCCAGGAAAACCCAATCTTTACCACTGAATTGGAGCAAATGTCAATCTGGAGCAGGTTTTCTGGGGAAAGCGGCAGGACAAAGGCACAACTGCTTGGACCCATACCTGGAAAGCACGGGGCAAGCAGAAAACCACTCAGACCCATGCTTTTTAGGCACGGGACAAGCAAAAGTTTGGACAAGCCCCATGTCTGGTTAAAGGTGCATCTGCTTTAAACAGACAACAGATTTGGTCCAAGACTCATTTGACCCAGGGTGGGGTGAGGGGGTTGATGTTAGGCGGCACCCTGAGCGATTAAAAGACACTTAGAATGGAAACTGACAGGTTTAAGGGTTTTCTTGTGCAACCAGAAGCTTCTTCAAACATAGTTTTTTTCCATGTGACTCACTTTTTCCATTTCTCCCATGGTGTGTCTGTCTGTTGACCCTGATGCCCCTTTCACCTCTTTCACCTCCTGCATCAACCAGCACCTTCCTTCCACCTACTTTCAGCAGCCAGAAACATCATAACCAGACACTGGAGAGATCTGTCAGGAGTAAGCATGGCCCAATGGTACCAAATAGTATGGGAAACAGCCTTACTAGAAAAATTCACCAATAAACTGAAACTGACACGGGGACAAATAGGAGAAGACGCCTTCACCTCAGTATGGCTCCCCTTTATCACATACACAGCCCAACAAGACAATGACAAAAATCCACCAACAACATACAAATCAATATGGCTCACCTGATCCAAAACACCCACCCACCCCACTCACACATGAAAACAAAGACCACCACAGCCAACCACAAACAACCACACCCTAAGCCAACCCCAACCTCTCTCACCACCAAAGAAACCACAAGTTAATAGCAGAGAACCTGCACAAGCGATGCTGACACAAAACCCCACATATATTAAGTAAAATAGAAACATCGCCACCCGACCCCACCCCCACTCATCTTCCCCCCCCTTCCCCCCTTTTCTTCCTAATGTCTCAACAAATGAAACAGATCTGTAAAAAATGTTACTTGGGGGGGAAGAGAGAGACATTGCACATACTTTTGTAAACCAAGAAAACCTTTAATAAAAATACATTTAAAAAAACCAGACCTTCCTTTGCATACTGCTTTCTACATGAATCTCTCTTGAGCATGCAAATTCTCTTACGACATGGTTACTCAGACGCAAGACTCACTGTGTTCCATGTCGCTTACTCAAAAGAAGTTGGCGCACACAAGATTGCAGTTTGGACCTGCCAATGTCCTCTATTTAAAAACTAACAAAACAGTAAAGCAAAAAGATGTCTCAGTGTTAAAGAACTTAGAATACCTTTTCAAAAGTTTGACCAAAATAGTCTATACCCAATGCAGTTGTAATCTGATATATGCTTACCTGATAGCTAGTTCCACTAAAATCAGTAGAGCTGACGATTGAGTATTTATTACCTAATTTTCCATGCTACTCTATAACCCAGAGATTGGGAATCTGTGGGTATTCAGGTGTTTTTTTTTGGACTCCAACTCCCGTCATTCCTGACCTGGGCCAATGGCAGTTGGAATCAATAATAATCTAGAGAGCCACAAGTTTCCCAACCTTATACAGCTAATGCTCTCATACACATACTCAATAGAACATGTCCCAGCCATGTACATTTTGGATGCTGTCAAGTAGTATTACAGTTCCTTTTTCTCCAAAATTTGGTGAATTGCCAGCTCTTATTTTTTACTATTTTTACCCCCACGTGCTCACAGGCTGACAAGGACTAGACTTTTTTCCTTTGCTGGAAGGTTTTTATAGTGCTCCCAGCAATATGTCATAACAACTCTTTGACATAGTCTGAATTTTCTTCAGTATCACCTGGGCCTTTTAAGCATTTTATGAATAAACCATTGACTGTGGATCTTTTTACAACGCCTCTTTTTGATGACGCATTTCCTCTTTTTTTGATGATGTACGCAAAAAGTCTCAGCACTACAGGTACCTATGAAAATGATGCCTCTTTCGTCATTTTTAACCTAATGACCCCGGATTCTTGCATAAAACTTAAGCAATTGTATATTTCTCAAGCAGTTTGTTGTAAGGAAAGCAATATCAGTCACTTCTGACCTAAAGGTAAGAGAGTTTTGCGTTCCTTTGCATCTGGTTGCTTATTTTGCATGTTCCATGTCAGTTTTCGTATTATAAAATAATACAAAGTAGTGTAATCCATAGAAGCAGGGAAGAATTTAACTGCTGATTAATTTGTGCAAGGCTCAACTTTGGCATAAACCGTGTGTTAAATATCTGCCTTTAACTCCACCCATTAAAACAAACCCTTCAGCATTCAGTAACCAAGAGCTAAGGAAAATATTTAAGTTGTAAAGTTTGCCAAGAAGGACTGGTGTTTTGCTAACGTTCTCCAACTGAACAAATCATTAGAATTTGACTGGATACATTCTCTAAAGCCAGCAACCTCCCCCAACCTGTTGCCCTCCAGATGTTCTGAACTATAACTCCCCGTGCTAGCTAGGGCCGATGGGAGTTGTAGTCTTAAAACATTTGGCAGGCAGCAGGGTGGGGAAGGCTAATTTAATCATTTTGGCATTTGGGCAGTGATTAGATCTTTATGCTCTTGTAAGAAGCTAAGGTCAGCCTACATGGTCCCCAATTCTATTTTATCCTCACAACAACCTTGTAAGGTAGGGAAGCCTGACAGAGACTGCTCCAGTTTATCCAGAAGCTTAATGACTGAGTCAGGACTATCTTCCTGGCTTCATACCAACTACAGTGGTACCTCAGGTTACATATGCTTCAGGTTACATACGCTTCAGGTTACAGCCTCCGCTAACCCAGAAATAGTGCTTCAGGTTAAGAACTTTGCTTCAGGATGAGAACAGAAATTGTGCTCTGGCAGCACGGCAGCAGCAGGAGGCCCCATTAGCTAGAGTGGTGCTTCAGGTTAAGAACAGTTTCAGGTTAAGAACGGACCTCCGGAACGAATTAAGTACTTAACCTGAGGTACTACTGTACTAGACCGCTGTTTCATGAGAACTAAAACCTCTCTTTCATTCACAAAAAGGAAATTTGCCATGCTACAATTTTTGTCCAAGAAGTTACTCAGTTATTAAAATTCATAATATTTACATTGATTGTAAAGGTGACTGGACTGTGATTGCACTAGTTGCATGATATCACTGTACAGAGATAATTACTAAAATGGAGAGAGAGATTACTGCTAATGATAAACATACTTAACTGCAGCTATTTATCAACTTTGCTGTAATTTTATAGATGCAATATCTAGTATCTAGTATCCTGGAAGAATGAACATACCTCCTTCTGCTGAACATATACAGTGGTACCTTGGTTTTCGAAGGTCTCCGTTGATGAACATTTCAGTTTTCAAATGCCGTAAACCTGGAAGTAAATGCTTTGGTTTTGAACATGACTTGGAAGTCGAATATGCCACGGGGCTTCCACTGAGTGCAAGATCCTGAGGCCTACCTGTCGGCTATTGAGTTTCCAGTTTTTGAACGTTTCAGAACTCGAATGGTCTTCCGGAACGGATTATGTTCGAAAACGGAGGTACCAGTGTACAATAAAGGTAAAAGGTAAAGGGACCCCTGGCCATTAGGTCCAGTTGTGACTGACTCTGGGGTTGCGTGCTCATCTCGCTCTATAGGCCGAGGGAGCTGGCGTTTGTCCGCAGACAGCTTCCGGGTCATGTGGCCAGCATGACTAAGCCGCTTCTGGCGAACCAGAGCAGCGCGCGGAAACTCCGTTTACCTTCCCGCTGGAGCAGTACCTATTTATCTACTTGCACTTTGACATGCTTTCGAACAGTTAGGTTGGCAGGAGCAGGGACCGAGCAACGGGAGCTCACCCCATCGCGGGGATTCGAACCACTGACCTTCTGATCGGCAAGTCCTAGGCTCTGTTGTTTAACCCACAGCGCCACCCACGTCCCTACTCTACAATAAGTTTCAGCTTAATTACTGTCAGTTTGAATTATGTAGAAAGAACCTCTGCCAGAAAACTCTTACTTGAAAATCTGACAGATTGCAGCTTACAAGCTAAAAGCTCTGTTCAGGGGAAATAAGCCATTTTGAAATCATCTGGAAATTGGCATTTGGTGCAGGGGTATTGATAGAAATGCAAAAGGCTCAAAGCATAGGCCAGTTAAAAGAGCACATGCTAATTTATATGTATAGATGCATATGGTTTTTTTTGCAAATTTCAGAAGAGGAAAACCAGCTCTGGCTATCAGGACTTACTCTGAGCTGTGGGGGCAACAATAGGATTTTCTGGTCCCAGTACAATGAATGTGGTGAAAAGGCCACATTCTGGATTAGTTGTTTCTGAGTCATCTTCAAAGGTAGCCCCATATAGAGCGCATTGCAGTAGTCCAAGCGGGAGATAACCAGAGCATTTACCACTCTGGCAAGACAGTGTGGAGGCAGGCAGGGTCTCTGCTGGCATATCAGATGGAGCTGGTAGACAGCTGCCCTGGACACAGATTTGACCTGTGCCTCCATGGACAACTGTGAGTCCAAAATGACTCCCAGACTGTGCATTTGGTCCTTTAGGTGCACATTCACCCCATTCAGCACAAAAGATCTGGGGTTCAGACTCCCCAGGCTAGCCCCAAACACCCTAATTCTAGTGTATATGCTAAAGATCACAAACACAAAGGGAACTGCAGAATTTTAATTCCTGCAGGAAGATGCTGCTACTTTACTTCGTCAGCTCATTATGTCCTTACTATCTGCAGCACTGTACTCTCTTGAAAAAGGCAGTGATAGATTTACCGTATTTTTCGCTCCATAAGGCGCACCTGACCATAGGGTGCACCTAGAATTCCCCCACCTCCCGCAAAAGCACGCAAAAGCCGTGCGCTCTTTAATGGGTGTGCGGCTTCTGCTGGCTTTTCTACAAGGTGGGGGAATTCCCCCACCTAGTAGAAAAGCCCACAGGAGCCGCGCACCCTTTAAGGAGTGCACGGCTCCTGCGGGCTTTTCTATGAGGAGGGAGAAGGGACCGACTGGCCGCATCAATCCCTTCTCCCTCCTGGGGAAAAGCCCGCAAGAGCCGCAGGGGCTTTTCCTGCCTGCCTCCCCCCTGCATTCGCTCCATAAGATGCACACACATTTCCCCTTACATTTTAGGAGGGAAAAAGTGCGTCTTATGGAACAAAAAATACGGTAGTTACTGAAGAAATTCAGGCAGCGGTTACACTTTCAAACATTTCTTCCTGAAGTTATTGCATGAGCTTAAGCCCTGGAGGAAATTCTGGGTTTGTATCTGAAACAGAAATAAATTATCTCTACTTGTTACTACCCAGACAAACGATGAAATCAGAAAGTGCAAGCCAAAATGGTCTCAGGCCTTATATTTGTGCTCTGGGCAGCATAATACATTGCCCAAAGCAATGATAGGGGTGGAGACGCTCTTTCAGGTATACTGGGCAGAGGCCGTTTATGGCTTTAAAGGTCAGCACCAACACTTTGAATTGTGCTCGGAAAGGTACTGGGAGCCAATGTAGATCTTTCTATGACTCCCTACAGCAGAATTAGGTAGCAAAACAGACTGTACCACTTCAGATTGTAGGTGTAGGCTGTAGAATTTTGATTCTCCCCTAGCAACTGATCATGCCTCCCCGAAAACTTCACCTCCCCTTGTGCTTTGTAAACCTTTGCTTCAGAGATGCCATTCAGTCCATTTGTCATCATAGGTTTTGGACCTGCCTTATCTTGCGCTATGCTGCTATAAGCCGTCAGTAAAACAATCTCCTCTGCCCGTGTGCCTTGAGTGAGAGAAATTTCCATTCCCCTTTTTGCTATCGTATCTCACATTACAGCACTTACTACAGCTTCTTAATTTAAATTACCCTGCATGACGAGGCATTTCTCAAACACTGTCCCTGATTTACAACTTGGCATTCGAATTATATTGCACTGGCAAATGATAATTTCTAAAAAAGCAAAGTGTGGACTTTGATCTGAAATGGTTATGGGCCCATTCCTGGAATTGGTTTACAAGAAGCAAAGTTATAAACATTTGCTGTTTAAAAAAAAGTTATTAAAATATTACTAGGTAGAGTTTACTTTAAACAGTCTTTGCCACTATGGAAGTAAAAGCCCTGCCTATAAAATGCTTTATCCCGGGCAAGTTTTTTTGCACATTCGGAGGGATGAAAACAATTCCTACATCGCCTTGCCCTCACTCTGACTTAGCTTAATTGGTCCTCAGTGATATTGTCACTGAGACTTCCCTCCCACCACACACACACTGTAAACTGCTCTAGAAATATTTATTGAAGGGAGGTATGAAAATTGTAAAATAAGTTCGGTCCCAGCTCCTGCCAACCTAGCAGTTCAAAAGCATGTCAAAGTGCAAGTAGATAAATAGGTACCACTCCGGCGGGAAGGTAAATGGCGTTTCCGTGTGCTGCTCTGGTTCGTCAAAAGCAGCTTAGTCATGCTGGCCACATGACCCGGAAGCTGTACGCCGCCTCCCTCGGCCAATAAAGCGAGATGAGCGCCGCAACCCCAGAGTCGGCCATGACTAGACCTAATGGTCAGGGTTTCCTTTACCTTTACCTTTATGTAATGTTACTGATGACAGCAAAAAGAAATCAGGGTGAAGTAACAAAACAAAAAAAATGGAGATGAAGTAATAGTCAGTAAATCACCCCAGTTAAATAAGCTGCAAAGAAGGTCTGAAGTGAGAAATGCAAGTCTGGAAAAAGAGTTCGGACCCCACCAGAGTATGGTCTTCAGGTGAACATTCAATACAATACCTAACTGATGCTCCAGAGCCAACTGTAGGGCAGGTTTGGGATTTTGGAGATAAGGCAGGGTGCTTTAGCTGGTACCTGGATCCCTTCAGGAGAAGGCTGGACATCCTTGAACAGCCATCCCCAACCTTCAGCCCTCCAGATGTTTTGGCCTACAACTCCCATGATCCCTAGCTAACAGGACCAGTGGTCAGGGATGATGGGAATTGTAGTCCAAAACATCTGGAGGGCCGAAGGTTGGGGATGCCTGTCCTAGAAGTTGATGCTGGCTGTTCTCTACTAGCCTTCCTGCAAACTGATGCTCAGCTGATAAAACCACACTTTCCATAGTAGGAGTTCCCACAAAATCACTCCTCTTGCTTTGGCTCTTTTTTTCCTTAACCATACTGAATACCCAGAAGGCGACTCATTCCCATCTGTGGATTACTTTCCTGCAAATGCACTGATGTCATCAGTCTCTCTCAAAGTACTTTCCTAGGCTGGCACTGATTCCGACCATTTGAATCTTTGATGGTTGGTGGCTACTGGAATTATGTCACACCCATCAGCCAGAAGGGGGGCGGACGAAGGGGATGCAAAGTTTAGAGATTGGGGCAGATTTGAGGGCTTTGACTGGCAAAAATAAACTTCTGGGACATGCAATATTGTTCTGAGAATTGTGCTTCTTTCACACTAGGTACTTCCTTGGTGCCACAGCATTGCTTAGTGGGAACTGGAATAAAACTGTGACGCCACAGAGCACTAAACATAGTACAGTGGTACCTCAGGTTACAGATGCTTCAGGTTACAGACACTTCAGGTTACAGACTCCGCTAACCCAGAAATAGTACCTCGGGTGAAGAACTTTGCTTCAGGATGAGAACAGAAATCGTGTGGTGGCAGCACAGTGGCAGCAGGAGGCTCCATTAGCTAAAGTGGTTGAAATATACTCAGAGTCGCAAAGTGATTTCATGCTCTTTATTCAGCTCATAGTGGTGAGGAGGAATGAATGAAAGTCCCCTCAAAGTATCTGCTTTATATACATTATTTACACAATGGGCTGCACATGATTGGCTAATTCCGGAATTCTACTGTAAGCCAATCAGGTTGTGGATTCACTTCTATCTGGAGCATGATTGGGTGGTTCCTGCCAACCAATCATACTGCTGCATTGTTCTAGGACCAATCAGACTGCTGCATTCTGAATCCTATTGTTCTAGGACCAATCAGACTGCTGCAGTTTGGATCCTATTCAACTCAGTACATAACAGTGGTACCTCAGGTTAAGAACAGTTTCAGGTTAAGAACGGACCTCCAGAACGAATTACGGTAAATTCTTAACCGGAGGTATCACTGTACTATGCTCTGTGGCATCCCAGAAGAACGGTATCAACCCAGCATATCAAAGAAGACCAAAGACCCATCTAGTTAAGAACATACAAAGATCCTGGCCTATCTAGTGGAGCATCTTCTTCCATACCCTCCAGCACGTCGAAGCAAAAATCCCAGGATGCCTGTCTTCCAGGGCCACTTTCATGTGTGGGACTGTGACCTGTGCGAGATTGTGACCCCAAAAGACGTGCTTTCCCCATGAGCACGGTGCCCAAATGTGTGCCTTTTGGGGCACCACAAAAGAGTGCTGTCCCCCCAAAAGCACTATTTTTGGTGGTGAGATCATGGTGCTGTGCTCTCGTGCGAGAAAATGGGATGTCTTGGTTTTATTGGGACAGTTAAGGGGGTTATCGTTCTCTCAGTGGCCAACCAGTTTCGTATGAGGAGCCTAGACATGAGCACAACAGCACCCGCTCAGAAGCTGACATGCAGGGTCATATTGCCTCCAGTGATGGAGACAGATCATAGCCATCATGGCTAGTAGGCTTATCCAGTGGCTGACACACATTTTTGTGGCCCTGAAGCTTGAACAGTTATGGGGGCCCCTTCACAACCAGTAATGAGATCTGGGTAACCACTGTAATCTTCTTCAATGGGGTTGTTCCACAACAGATCATCACATTTTAAAAAACAAACAAAAAACTACTACATCTCAGACTTTGGTTAAAATTGTTGTACAGTGGTACCTCGGGTTACATATGCTTCAGGTTATATACGCTTCAGGTTACAGACTCGGTTAACCCAGAAATGGTGCTTCAGGTTAAGAACTTTGCTTCAGGATGAGAACAGAAATTGTGCTCTGGCGGCACGGCAGCAGCAGGAGGCCCCATTAGCTAAAGTGGTGCTTCAGGTTAAGAACAGTTTCAGGTTAAGAACGGACCTCTGGAACAAATTAAATACTTAACCCGAGGTACCACTGTACTGGATTATCCCACATGTCAAAGTCACTGGTGTGAATAAAAATGTCCTATGCCTTATAGTTTTAGGATTGTGCGACTCAAACTGAGTCTCCTAGACCCCAAATTTTTGAGCAATGAAGTCACTTCTGGGGCCCCTCTGGGACTAGGGGCCCCAAAGCTTAAACTTTATTAGTTTCATGGTAGATTCGCTTTATCCTCCAATAATTTGTCTAATTTTGTCTATTTCTCTTTTAAAGTCACAAAAGTTTGTTAAAAGGTTTGTTTACTTTTGTAGATAGTATCAAAGTCATGGCAAAATGAACCTCATGTATGGATTTTCATCTCTTTCTGCAGATCAAGCCGAGCCTTTGTGAAGAATGGCAAATTCAAAGCAAGTCTAAAATAAAAATAAAAATCCACCAGCCTTGTTCACTTAAGAAGCTTTTGTTGTTTGTGGCCATTTGTCTTTTCTGGAGATCTATCTGTTAAGTGTTCCTGACCCTGGAGAAGGTATTTCATCAAATGTGTTAAGTAGAGCAATCCGCTTAGCAGCAGCAGAACATTTTGTGAGAGCTTTAAAATGGGTTACATAAATTTATTTGTAGTTCTAAGTGCAAACTTCTCTTCTGATCACCAGAAAAGATACTGCAAGTTTTTTGTTACAAGGCTGATTTGCAATTTCAGCAGATAATCACCTGACCCGATTTGGGAGTTCAACTTTGAGGATACGCATGCTGAAACACTGACGTCTGTGCTTTCCAAAGTAAAGGTTTGTTTTCGTGTGTTTTTTTAAGTACATTGATTTTCATCTGGTGCACTGCTGCAACTAAACTTTATTTTCAGTTTAAAAAAAGGAGCAGCAAGTTTCAGAACATGCTCCAGGGTCCTTTGCGGCACTAGCAACGCACAGAGAATGTGCACTGCTTTGACTTCCAGCAGTGGGGTTTTGTAGGCAGTTCCTGCATGCACTGATCATGCTCAGACTGTAAAGGTAAAGGGACCCCTGACCATTAGGTCCAGTCGTGGCCGACTCTGGGGTTGCGGTGCTCATCTTGCTTTATTGGCCGAGGGAGCCAGCATACAGCTTCCGGGTCATGTGGCCAGCATGACTAAGCCGCTTCTGGCGAACCAGAGCAGTGCACGGAAACGCCGTTTACCTTCCCGCCAGTAGATAAAACCCATTTATCTACTTGCACTTTGACGTGCTTTTGAACTGCTAGGTTGGCAGGAGCTGGGACCGAGCAATGGGAGCTCACCCCGTTGCGGAGATTCAAACCGCCGACCTTCTGATCAGCAAGTCCTAGGCTCTGTGGTTTAACCCACAGCGCCACCCGCGTCCCACTCAGACTGTAGTTCCCTCTAATAATGAACTTGGGTGTCGAGGGTCAACTGAAATAGAGTCAAAGTGGGGCCAACTGAGAAACTAGAGGGAAGCTATCTGCAGACTCAGGGTAACTTTGAGGTTTTCAAAGCTACGAAAACACTTTAAAAACAAAACCCCAAACCCTAATAGGGCATCAAACTGAAGAAAAACCCAGCCCAAATGAGTCACAGAATGTCAAGTACTAGTTGGAAAACTGTGGTGTGTGGGTTTGTATGGAAGGAAGTACTCTAGACTGGCCAGAACCTTGAACCACAGTGCTCTTATTAAACGGGGAGGACACATTTCAGCATTGTACCACAGGTCCCATTTGTTATCCTGAAGATAAAAGAAATGTCAGTGGAGGAAGGGCAAAAAGAAAATATTACACCCAACAGGAAGACACAACCGGCACAGGAATGTGTAACATCAGTAGGTACAGCTATGCCAGAAGGGATGAGAAGATGACCCACACTTGTATCAAGCAGGTAATTTCAGGAGGAGTGGAATGGTTCTCCTCTTTTGCATCTAAACAATGTCTGAACTTTACACTGCAGCCGGCCCTACCATTAGCAGGAGTGCAGCAGCCACCTTAGGCAGCAGATGTTGAAAGGTTGAGAGTGAGTAGAGCTGTGTGAGATGCATGGTATGCGCTGCACACACCCACCCAAGCTAGCATGCTGTCCTCGGGTGCAGTGAAAGTCTGTTTCATGGATGGGAAGTGGGGGCCACCATCTTCTCCTTTGCCTCAGGCAGCAAAATGTCTTGGTCTGGCCCTTATCTAGCCAGAGTCCTAAATAAATGATGCTGAAAACAGGTGCATGACCCAGGAGATCCACGGCTGGATGTTTATCCATATGTATTGTCTATTTTTGCTTTTATATCCCACCTTTCCTGTCAGGGAGCTCAATATGGCATTCGTGGCACTCCCCCTCTTCATGCCATCCCTGAAACAACCTGTGAGGTAGGTTAGGCTGAGAGATAATGTCTGGCCCAAGGTCACCCAATGAGTTTCTTGGCTGACAGGGAATTTGAACCTTGGTCTTCCAGGTCTTAGACCAACACCCTAACCATTGCACCACACTGCACCTAATTTAAAACAGCAACATTAAAGCAGCCAGCGAGGGCTTCAATCATGACTGAATCAATGGCACCAGGGAAAGGGAGAGTTTTCCTGTAGTTTTCCCAATCAAAACCACCCACTTAATGCAGCTATTTATTAACTCTGCTTTGGGAAGAGGGAGGGAAGAGGTCAAAGTCAGGTGGAATACAGGTGGAATGAGTTGCAGGGTCAGACTCCCTATAATTTATGGAGTTACAATAAGGTAGAATTAATCAAGGTGGAAATTGTGGGTGGCCAATAACACCAATGCAACAACTGGGATTTTCAATGAGGAATAACAGATGAAGCAAAAGGGTTAAACACGCACAGAGCTCCCCCCGCCCCCATTGGCTGTTTAAAAAGAGAGAGATCCAAACAGAGATCTCTTGCATCATATGTTTTGACCTTAAGATCCAACCCCGGAAGAGAGATTATACCGCGTTACTACTTGCATTAAGTACATCCTGATGATGTAAGCTCAGTTTAAATGGGGAACTTTCAACAGAATGTAATAGCCACATTGTGGTGGGGGCGAGATTAAGAGACACATTAAAACGAAGGCATGCAAATAAAAATAACTTGGGCTGCAATCCTATATGTGCTTACCTGGGAGTAATTCTCAGTGGGTTCAGTGGGGGTTGCATATGTATATATCTCAGTACAATGTACAGGACAAGATTCTGCCCAGAAATCTTTTTTAAAAATCTTTTTCAATGTGTTGAAATAATAATAATAATTATTATTTCCCACCCTTCACCATATGATCCTAGGGCAGGTTTCAGCAGTTTATAAATACAACATTAAATTCGGTTTAAAACATGATAATGCTAGATAACATGATATCTCTTTGCATATTGTCTCAGATAAACAAACTAATTTGGAATAATATGGGATCCTCTCAAGTCTTGCAAGTTCCAGTGCCACGAGCACTGAGTGGGCTAATTGCCACAGGAGTGACGAGAGTAATGTCAGATTACATGTCATATGTAATCATATGTAGTAGCTTCCAAATGCATCATGCACATTTTAACATACATAGTTTTCCTTCATACTTTGAGAGGTGTTGGCAGTAAAATGCCACTGGCTTGATTTCAGATCCCCCCCCCATTTTATTTCATGAATAAAAACCCTCAAATAATTAAGCAGTATATCCTTTCCCATTGATATCATACTAAAGAGACACTGGTGAACTAACTGCCAATTCCCACATGCCAGAAAATGAGTCTTAGAGCTATTTCAGCATGCTGGTACATTTGACACATTTCAACAATTTCCTATATAAGTTTAATTTTAGCTGATTTAAGCTTTGCAAGTCATAACAACTACGAACCTCCCACCCAGACAGTTCTTCTTTTGGCTTTTGAAAGAAAAGAGCAAGCATGCCTCCTTACCATTATTGCGATTATCTTGCAGGCTCTTGGATTGCATTTCGACTTCCTAGAGTTAAAAAAGAAATGATTTGAACTGGAAGTGAATTTTTAAAGCCGGCACCCTGAGCAAATGAAATCTTCAACCAAAAGATTGCTGGTCAAAAATAGAAGTGATCTGGAAGAGGAGAGGAAAGTTATATTGCTGTGATATGAACCCTGCTAGTCTACAGCTGTTATACTAGCAGTCATTCATCATAATATTTAAATGAGAGAGGAGGGACGGGTATTTGACTGTTTAGGTCCCTCCCAGATCTTACACAGAGCAAACTCAAACCAATCCCCAAAAGTGAGTAGAAATCAATCTGAGCAAATCAAAGCTGCAGTTTTCAGAACAGAGTCACAAATAAACAACACGATTTTGCATTTCTGTTCAGGGATCCATCCTACTGAGCGGCAGCCACAGTGGGCTAAATTAATCCACAGTTATTCATTTCCTCAAACCTTAATTAAATTAGATCTAGAATGAACAGGGTGCTTATTGTTGGTCAGTTGATGTTGGTTTCTTAATTTTGAAAGTTTCTCTGCCAAGGCTACAGGTAATGAAACAATAAAAACAGCAATTCTTTAAACGCACAAATGCACACATACATGCGCAGCAGTTCAATCAAAGCCATACATTTAATGGAAGATTAAAAACCATAATCCAGGCAAATTAGATCCAGTGTTGAAATTTTTCTAGGCAAACAGAAGAGGTATTTGGCTGGTGCCCAAATGACATGAGTGACACGCCCTCCATGATGCAACCTGAGGTTTTTGGCCAACTAAGTTGTACTCAGAGTAGACTCATTGAAATTACTCAGTGCTTATTTTCTAAAAAAATGTTTAGGGGTACTATTCTCAATTTCCTACTCATATTGAAATACTGCCCCTCAATGAGGCCAAACTTAGATTCACAAAATCTTTAGGGGTATGCGTCCCCCTGCGTCCCCCCAGAAAAAAAACACTGAAATTAATAGCCAACCCTTTGCCTATTCATGCTTACTACAAAATCTCCTATAGAATTCAACAAGACATACTTCCAAGTAGCATGTCTAGCAGAATGGGGCAGTGGGAATAAGATGGCAGATTGCAGTGGGAGGGGAGGCTCTTCCGAACACTCCCCCTGGATGAAAGATTTGTTGCAAAACAGAAATGAACACAGTAGGGCTAAATTAGAAAATTTCCCCTAATATGCTTACTTATTTAGTAATTGCATTTATACCCCACTTCCCCTCAAGAAAATGGTGTACGTAGGTTTCCCACTCCCCATTTTATCCTCACAACAAACCTGTGAGGTATAGTGGTACCTCTAGTTACGAAGTTAATTCGTTTTGGAGGTCCGTTCTTAACCTGAAACTGTTCTTAACCTGAGGTGAGCTTTTGTTAATGGGGCCTCCTGCTGCCGCTGCGCCACCGACACACAATTTCCGTTCTCATCCTGGGGCAAAGTTCTCAACTCAAGGTAACTTTTCCAGGTTAGCGGAGTTTGTAACCTGAGGCGTTTGTAACTCGAGGTACCACTGCACTGTAGGTTAGGCTGAGAGTGAGTGACTGGCTCAAGGTCACACTGTTAAGTTGTGGGTGAACATATCAGACGACACAGCGATTCTTCAAACAGCTCTTGTTTATTCAGAGGCCAGAACAGAACTGAAGGGTTCAGTCAGCCTGCTTATATAGAGCTCCAGTACCACGTTACTGTAACAACTTTCTAAAACTATCCAATCACTGAACGTCACTTTCAATCCTTCATTTGCATAACTATCTACAGTATCCCCCTACTGGCCCAGGGTGAGAACTTCAGTACATAACACACACGGTGAGCTTCATTGCCAAGTGGGCATTTGAACTCTGGTCTCCCGGGGTCATAGTCCAACACTCTAACCACTGTGCCACACTTTTACTTGTAGTAAGTCTTTATTTGGGATATCAGTGATTGTGACAGACTCCCACCCAAAAACATGACGACCGTGCTTCTTGCTTGAAAGGAAGGATCTTTATTCCGGCTAATTAGCAATACAGGCTCAGCAGCAATCGCATGGGCCAGAAGCCAAGGTTCTGAGATACGTGAGCAAAGCAAGAAGTTCAGAGTCAAGAGGGAAATAGTGGAATGTCCCAACAGGTGATACGTCCCTCTAGCCAAGCTCTTAAAGACTCTCTCCCTCTACAGTCCTGCTGTGCTCATGCATGTGTGTGTGTGTGGGGGGGGTGTATCTCAGGGGTGCCCAATCTTTTTTCAAAGAGGGCCAGATTTGATGAAGTGAACATGTGTGAGGGCCGACCATTTTTTACGATTTTACCCCAAAGTTTTTTAGCTTTCTTTAGGATTGAAGTTTTGAGCTTTTTTTAGGATTTGACCCCAATACATAAACTGCCACAGGGGCCAGATAAAACCAGCTGGGGGGTCGGATTAGGCCCCCAAAACGGACTTTGGACATGCCTGTTGTCTCTGATCCCACCTACAAAGGTGGTCAGAGGCAGATTTAGGGCAGCGTGACCAGTTTCCCCTCACTGGTTGCCAAACCGAGGGGGGCAATGGAGGGCATCACAACGATGACATAATACATGTGCAGAACAGAAAGCGAGAGGTGGGAGTGCCAAATTTGGGGCTCGCGCAGGGCGCTACTGAAATTTGGAAGATCGCCTCTTGCCTGGATCTTGGGGACAAGGCTGTCTCCTGTCCTTCTGCCTCCAGCTCCAAAGCCACCCACTCCTGTTCAGCCAGCCCATCCCTCTGTCTGATCAGAGTCACCCATCCTCTTTGGTGAGGCTCTGTGCTCCCATAGTAGGGGCAGGGGAGGGACACAGAGGGAGGACCTCCCCACTCCAGCTCTAGCACAAGCCTTCCAGCCCCCATCTCCTCCTCCTTCCTCCTCCTCCACCTTCTCTTCCATCTGCGACTGCCAAACCGTGCCAAGTCCTGATGGGGCCCACAGAAGATAGTCAGAAAGAAAACCCTCTTCTCTGAGCTTGGGTGCTCAACAATCCCAGGGAGCGGGTGTCGCAGGAAACCCCCCCCCCCAATCATTCAGTTTGTACAAACTCCTCTCTCTCTCTCTCTCTCTCTCTCTCTCTCACACACACACACACACAACATACGCTACACTTCTGTTATAAATTCATAGAAAATCAACCATACATCGGATCTGCACCGTTCCACTTTTATTTTACTCCATGAAGGAAGGACTACAAAATGGGGAAGGTTTGATACAGGCCAGCCATAATCCCTTGAGCATACCAGCACATACACAGGAGCCCTGCCCAGTTGCTATGCCAACCCTGATGGTCCTAGACAGAAGACCATCAAGGTCACAAAGGACTTGCATATGGGAGTGGATTCAACACGGACTGGAACAAAGGACAATGATCAGCTCTTCCCTCTGGGGGCAGGAAACTGCCAACTCCCCTTTGTCTTCTGGAAATGACTCATGGGGTGGGGGAAAGGAGGAACCAGCCAGGTGACAAGATACTCAGGTTACCTCCACAACTCCTCCCTCAACCCCTCCTTTTTGTGATGTGTCAATGATGTAGTCATGATGCAGTTGTGATGTAGTTCTAGGGGTGCAGCTTGGGGGATTAGTAACTAATAAAAGTTGGGTCTTCTTTTTTTCTGGGCTTCCATTTTGTTTCACCTGGTGGCAGGTGGGAGTCCTGTCGTGACAGTCTTCAATAAAGACCAAGCCTACTGGCTGCTGTTTTGCTCTGGTATTCCTGGTTGGTGTCCTTGTTTTTTGTCCAAGGGAGCCCTAGGATTTCTCTCTTAACAGCGGAAAAATCAGTGCCGAGCCAGGGGGATAAATGATGCCAAAGGGAAGGAGACAAATATAGGTACTGTGCCTGTTGAAGAAAGTAAACCTGACCATATTGAGCCATTTATAGGATTGCATAATTTTATTCGGCTGCTCTGCGTAAATGGTACCGCCCACCACCAATTTTGTGTTGGTACAGATTCTTCTTGTTTTGCTCAAGAAAATGACGTTGCCAAGGCATCCCTAAGCAGAGGTGTAACAATATGCTGCTTTTACTTACCTTTAAAAGGGGAAAGGGAAACATGTGCCATTGCAGAGGTCTGATAAGTGCTCATAACCGCGGAACAACAACAGAACACGCCGTGCCAAACCTGTTTAAATCAACTTCACACAGGGGCTGCTGTGAATGCACTTTGGGTGGCCTTGATGCAGAAAAGCAAACTGGCTTCCTGTGCCTCTAACGTTTGGGAAAGGAGGGTTCTTTCTTCTCCCCGGGGGATGTGAAGATTCTCCTCTCTGTCGAACTGCAAACGGCACAGGCAAAGTGCTAGTGCAGGGCTGGAGTACCCACCGTGCATTTAAAACACATGACACCCCACCCCAAACCTGGGAACTGTAGTTTGCCCCCTCACAGAGCTATAATTCCAGGGGAAGACAAAATCCAGAGGGACTAAATTAGGAGCAGCTGCTGGGAAGGGTTGCCAGCACAGACCTGGCCATACTGGGGGGGGGGCGGCGCAGGGCAGTGGTGAGGTTGGTGTGGTTCGAGGACACCATCAGGAGGCCTGCCTTGGTTCCCCTGGTGCGTCCAAACTTCCCTGACCTCACTGCCACATCCCTGCCCATTCTGCATGCCAGTAGGTGGGGATGAAGCAGCTGCAAGGAGGCCAACTTTGTGGCACTACCCATGACCACCAGCTGCCGCCGATGAAAAGAACAAGCTCCTATTTCCCATGTATATATTTTTTATTAATTTTGTGCAGTGGTGTAGCATGGTTTGCTGGTGTCTGCGGCGGGCACACGCTCGTGTGCACTGGGGTGGGGGGTGGGCAGGGCATGGAGGGTGAAGGAGCCTGCTGCACCAGCTCAGCCCTCACTGCCATCGGCGCTGGAGCGCCCCCCCTCCCAGCCAAACAGGGCTGTGCTGCACTGCCTGCCCGTCTGTGCAGGGGGGGAGGCCAGCTGGCCAACACGGCCTTTGGTGGGCAAATCCCCCCAACACCTGTGGATGGGATGAGGAGGACACAACAACCACCTGCCCTTCAACCCCAGCCTCACAAAGCTCATTATTTCCTTCAAAGAATTCTGGGCACTGTAGTTCACCCATTGCAGATGAAATATACTCGGAGTCGAGAGTGGATTTCATGCTCTTTATTCAGCTCAGAGTGGTGAGGAGGAATGGAAGTTCCCCCAGAATGTCTGCCTTATATACATTAT